GACCTTGTCATCCACTCAGTCATTGGTGGGTGGCTGTCTGGGAGTTCCCATCAGCCTCCTGAGTGGTTCACTGGGCAGGGTTTCTCAGGCAAGGTGATCTGTGTGATCAGCCATATTTCCTGCATGCTCCTTTCCCCTCTACCAGATTCCCCACCGTAAGAAGCTGGGGAGGAGGAAGTGCCGGAACCTTCATTTGTGTTATTAGCATCTTGGTACTTACAATCACCTCCTCAATAAGTTACCAAGCTTGTTGGCCACAGTAGATCAGCCGGAAAAAAAACCCAGTGATTCTGGCTTCCCTGGCCTCCTTCAAGACTCACCTCAGATCCCACCTTCTGCAAGAGGCTGTTTCCAGCCCCTTGCCCCAGTGATACTGCCTTCCCTTGGAGATTTCTTCCCATCGACACTGTGTCTATCTTGTGTGTTGTCTCCTGCGCTGGAATGTGAGCTCCTTGAGGGCAGGGGCTACGTTGTTGCCATTCTTTGTATCCCTATCACTTAGCACAGTGCCTGGCACAGTTGGTGCTTAATAAATGCTTGTTGACTGACAAACTGATGTGTGTCCAGTAGAGGCTCAGTCCAGGGTCATCTCCTCCCCTCCCCGTTCTGCCCTCCCCAGATCCTTCCCACTTGAAAGTGTTCTCTCTCCAAATTGTCCCAGAGCACCTGTCAGGATCTCTCCTTTGCCCTCCATTGCTCCCTCCCTAGCCAGGATCACCGGGTTTTTTTTCCGACTGATCTACTGCGGCCAACAAAGCGGGTAACTTACTGAGGAGGTGATGGTAAGTACCAGGATGCTAAGAACAGAAATGAAGGTTCCGGCACTTGCTTCTTCTCCCTAGTTTCTTATTGTGGGGAATCGGATATTAGACTTCTCAGTATACTTGTCATTCCTCACCACCCTCCCTCTCCTTGTGAAACAGCATGTAAGGTCTCTTTGAGGAAATCGACTTCGTCATTTTTCATCTTCCCTTCCTTAGTGCCCTGCACACAGAAGATGCTTAATAGCCAGGAGGATGAAGGGATTCAGAAACGTATCTTCTTATAAGGAGCTGGGGCTGTTTAGCCCACAGAAGAGACTTAAGAGGAACGTGATCGCTGTCTTCAGATATCTGAAGGGCTGCCATGGGGAAAAGGGAGTCCATTTCTTATTCTGTATAAGCTTCTGAGGACAAATGGGCAGAAGTTATAAGGAAGTAGATTTGAGTTCAATGAAAGAACGCTCTTTCTAACAATTAAAGTCGTCCATCAAGGGAATGGGCTGCCTAGCAGGAGCACTGGCCCTGTAGCTCCTTGGGAATGTTAAAAGGGAATTGATTAATGTATTTGTCAGGGGTGGGGCAAGATTAGATCACCTTGGAGAGCCCTTCAACCTCAGCTTCCATGAGCCTATGATTCGAATCTGAGAAATTAATCCACGCTAAAGTTTTAGTGGGTACCGTGGGGCTAATGAGTTACCCCTCCCATGCCTATCACGCACATATGTTAACAGATGCCTTTTGGTGGCACTGAACTTTCATTCAAATTGATCATTCTGATGGTGGGAATTTCAGGCTGGAGTTGGGGCAGGGAGCGAGGAGAGAAAGAGACCTTTCAGGGAAGATGGGCCCTTGTGGCCCAGCCATCTACTCCACCATTAGGCACAGGCAAGCCATGATTCCTATTCCCTTAGGGACAAATAGACCTGGCCTTTCCTTCTAGCAAGTTGGGAACAAACACATCCGAGATCTTTGATCTCATTGCTATGGAAACTCCCTCCACCCATGCGAATTGCAACCTATCTATAACTTAGCAGATAGGTCTTAGAGTTGCCAGAAGCTCAGGCCCATGACCATACAGTTAGTAATGGCAGAGGTGGGATGTGAAGAGAAGGCCTCTGGCTCCAGGACCGGTTCTCTAGCCACTTATACCATGATGACTCTTACCCTGTAAGTCGATCTTTAAAGTATTGAGGATGATAATAACAACCGTAACAATAGCTAATATTTCCATGGCACTTTCTAGTTTGCAAAACCCACTGCATACAACAGCTCCATGAAGTGGGCAGTGTAAGCATTGATTTTCCCATGTTACACCCTTGCAAAGCCCTTTGTATATATGTCTAATCTCATTTGAGCCTCACAACAATCCTATGAAGTAGATGTCATTATTACACCTATTTTACAGATGAGAAAACCAAGGCTCAGAGAGGTAAAGGGGCAAGGACCCGAGGTCACCAAACTAAAGATAAGCACTGAACCTCAGATGGAAGGGGCCTTCTAGTCCCATCTAGTCTAAGTCATACCCAATAGGAATTCCCCCCCCCCACCCCGCTATAACACACCCAACAAGTGATTGTCCAGCCTCTGCTTGGAGACCTCCAAGGAAGTGGAACTCATCACCTCTTAAAGCTGCCCTCGGGACTGTCCTTGGGACAGTTCTCCCTGTTAGGAAGTTTTTCCTGACATCCAGCCTAAATTTGCCTTCTGGTAATTCTCCCTCCCCTCTCCCCATTGCTCCTAGTTCTGCTCTCTGGGGCCAATCCGTCTTCCTTGTGACAGTCCTTCAAAAACATAGCTATCATGCCCAGCCTGAATCTTCTCTCATCCAGGCCAAACATCCCTAGTTTTGTCAACTGATTCTTACATGGGTTCAAGGCCCTTCATCACCTTCTGCTATACCTTATGCCTTATTTCTGCTATGACTATAATTTGAGGCCTTAATATTTTGTTTTGGGCAGATGTCTGGATAACTGAAGTCTCCCATTACTACTACTACTACTACTACCATATTGGGCCTCTGTGCTAAGTCTGTGATGTTTCCTGAACTCCCCATCTATTTTCTTTTTCTGTCCAAGAGTGTTGATGATAAAATTGATTTCTTCCTTCTTCTGCTGATCTTCATCCAAATGCTCTCCGCTATGTCTTCTTGCCTCTCTATGCCTAGGTTCCCTGGCATGAGTATACCCTCTTAATATACAATGCTACCCCACTCTCCTTTGCCTAGCCCAGGGGTGGTGAACCTGCAGCTTCGAGGCCACATGTGGCCTTTTAGGTCATCAGGTGTGACCTTTTGGCTGAGTCCAAGTTTTCCAGAACCAATCCTTTTATGAAGTTTGGATTCGGTCAAAGGGCTGCACTTGAGGACCAAGAAGGCCATACGTGGCCTGGAGGCCTCAGATTCCTCACCCCTGGCCTAGCCTGTTTCTTTTGAATAAGCCATATTCCTATCAGGAGTTTCATCCCACCTGAGGCCATCTGCTTCCTTGTATCAGGAGCTCCAGGTCGCTGTGCTATTTCCCCAAGCTTTGGGCACTTCAGTACAGACATCCAGGACTTTGCAATTTTGGGCAGTTTGGGCTACTTGGTAATATGGCCTACTTGGCAACGTGGCCTACTCATCAATATGGGTTACTTGGCAATACAGCTTAGTTGACAATATTGTCTACTTGGTAATACGGCCTACTTGGCAGTACAGCCTACTTGGCAATATGGCTTACCTGGTAATATGGCCTACTTGGTGCTCCCAGTACATGCCATTCCGTAGCTCACCTTCCTATTTGGGAAGCTGAAGCTTCATATTTTCCCTGTGCCTGGAATACGCTCTCTCCTCTTGCTATTATTAAATTTCTTAGAATCCAAAACATTCTTCAGGATTCACTTCCAGGGCCACCTTCTACATGAAGATTTTCCTATTCTCCTGCTGTCAATACCACTCTCCTCACCCCCAATATTACCTGGCATTTACTTGTATGTATACATGCTGTTGCCACCAATAACATAAGTTGCTTGAGGGCAGGAACATTTTCACTTTTGTCTTTGTATCCTCAACACTTATGATAGTACCTGGTGCACAGTAGGCACTTAATAAATGCTAATTGATTGACCAATAGTCCAATTTTTTCATTTTATGAAATGGAGAAACTGAGACTCAGAAGGGAAATGACTTGTCCCAAATTAGAGTGGTTTTGCCCAGAGGCTAAACCTGGACTGGAGGAGACCAGGCTTTCTTAACTAACCCTCAAATCTATGTTAAACTAGAACACCGGATATCCTGATGACATTGCTGAAACTTAGCTTACAAGTACAAACATGCTCATTGGATTGTGGCTAAGCAGGCAGGAGAGATACTAAACTAACTTGCATCAGATAAAAGGACCAATGGAAAGAGCATACTTGTAAGCAAACCTCTGGAGATCTTAGAAAGCTGCAAAGCTGTAGAAATAAACATCTCTTCCTTCAATATTGCTGCCTAGAATCTGGCCTCTTGTTTTGGATGGTCCCACTTATAGCTCTCGGGCCTAATGGAGCCTGTGAGGTGCGAAGAAAACACCTTTCTCCTTGGCAATCATATTTTTAATTTTTTTTTCATTTTAATTTTTTTTTTTGGCTAGGCAATGGGGTTAAGTGACTTGTCCAGGGTCACACAGCTAGTAAGTGTTATGTGTCTCAGGCCGGATTTGAACTCAGGTCCTCCTGAACCCAGGACCGGTGCTGTATCCACTGCACCACCTATCTGCCCCAGCAGTCATATTTCAATGAGCTTAATAGTGCCATGAGGTTAGTGCCATGGTTCCCAGATCTCATAGGAAGAAATAGATTATTAGGATGTTAGGTGACTGACCCAGGATGGGAGAAGTTATAGGAAGAGCTGAAATTAACACCCCCAAACTTGTTGGGTTTCTCCTTTTCTAATACTTCCTACCAAATGGAAGCCCCCAAATGTGATTGGGCCAACCAGAGGAACTCCAAGGTCCATTCTGGCTCGAAGACACACTGATCCTCGGAAAATCAATGATGCTTCCAGTCAACTGGTTAATGTATGCATATTTATGCTCTTTAATGGGAAAGAACAACAATCAGAACATTTCTGTGGTGTCTTCATGTTCATAAAGACCTTTACAAACATCTTTTTTTTTTTTAACGAACATTCATCCTTGCAATGACCTTGGGAGGTAGGTGCTATCATTGCCCCCATTTTAAAGTCAAAATCAACAACAATAACAAAAATGATGTCTCCGAGTGGCCTGAGTGACTGGCCCAGGGTCACACAGCTAATAAATTCTGAGGCAGGATTCAAATCCAGGTCTTTCCGATGTCAAGTCCTGTCTTCCCATACCACAGTGCTTTGGTGATGAAGCAATGTCATTACAGACTTCTGGGGAGTGAATGAAAGAAAGGAGAAGTCTTATAAAAATGGTGCTCTTGTCCTCCTCATCCCCAACTCCCCTTGTCCCCTCGCCCCAACCCAAGGTTGGGTTTTTTTTTTCAGTCTAACATCATCATGGTCTCATCTCACCTGGATCCCATTATGACCACAAAGCACAGATTTACCAACCAGTTTTCCAGGAATAGGGGCTGTAGTCTGTGGCTGGGGAAACAGTTTTGGTTTCACTAGCTTTCCCTTATAAAGCTCCATCACCTTGACTGGTACCTTATTAGTTCAGAAGCACCAATAAACTGAGCTTACAGCCTAGACTAGGAAACTATACACAATGTATGAGACAGAAAGAACCTTAAAACACAGAAGATCAGAATTGAGATCAGAGAGGGGCCTTGAAACACAGAATGTCAGAACATAGAGCATGGACCCATGCTTATGACACTGTCAATGAAAACATTTGTCCTAGGTGATCTCCAAGGTCCTTTACCCATTTAAATCTCTGATAGTTAAGGACATTTAAAGGTTGATGAGCTGGTCCCCCAAATGATGGCACATACACTTTGTGGAGGGTCCTGGGACTTCCCTGAGGCCAGAATGTTTCATAGAATGTCAGATGTCATCACTTTGTTTGTTGTTTTTGTTGAATTCTTTTCTTTTGTTATAAGGGAGGATTCAGTGAGGGCAGGCGGGGTATAGCAAGGAATGACTGGGATGAGGAAGTCAATTCATCCATGAAACATTTTGAGAAACATAGAACATCAGAGCAGGGGCGGGGGGGGGCAATTTCACAATTATCTAGTCAAACATTTTACAGGTAAGGAAACTGAGGTCCAAAAAAGTTGGCTAGAACCCCATTCTCCTAACCAAGCTCCATACTATTTCTAATGCCATCATAAAATCTGATGGTACATTGCTGCATGATGCAGACACCAATCTCTCTATCAAAAGTGCTGGACAGCTTTCTTTGTTTGATACAATACAACAGGAACGCAACATCAGTAGCTAAGCCAGAACTCAAACCCAGTTCCTTTGACTCCCAGGAGAGAGTAGCAACCCTTTCATTCTTCTACTTTGCTCCATGGTTGGGAAGAAACCATTTTGCAAACTAGAAAGTGACATCCTATTATCATAGGGTACTTTAGCCTCAGTGTTCAGCTAGCTTTCCTTATAAGCAAAGAAACCCTGTGTCTATGACCTTATTAGGACATGTTTGTTAATCAGTTGAGCTCACTCACCCAGCCTGGTTTTGCTGGATGAAATGATGCCAAGGTCACATGCTTTATCCATTCCTAAATTTACATGGACCACCATAAAATCTCCAGATTTCCTGGTGGAAGGAATCTCCGAGGCCATGGAGTCATAGGCTAATAGGATCATAGATTTAGACCTGGAATGAACCTTAGAAACCATCTAATGATTTCAATCCAACCCCCTTAAGTTTCAGATGAGGAACCTGAGGCCCAGAGAACAGTGACTTGTCCAGGGTCACACAAGCTAGGATTCCAAATGAGGTTCTCTGCCTCCAAATCCAATGCTATTCACTGCCCAATGAACATTGACTTTGAGAAAACATTTGAGAGCCCTTCCATCCTTCCCTCCCTCCCAATCCCCAAGCCAAGCATTAGCATGGAATGCTTCTCACCATTTTGGAAACTCATGACCAAATTATGCCTTTGTTCAGAGCTCCTAAAAGTGGACAGAGGTCGATTCCGTGCCTTGGTGGACTCTTGGGACTGTTACCAATCCATCCTCACAGTTCTTTTGTGTTCTGTTCTGCTTGCACTCACAATTTAACCCAAATCTGCTGTTCCCATCTGAAATGATATCAAGTCAATACATGAATTAAAATACTAACCTCATGGCTTAGTGACCTCAGTGAGTTATTTTCAGTGATGACACAGGGGATAGCATTATGATGTATGGCATGGGAAAGTAAATATAAATGGCTGGCTGAGGGTGCCTGGCATTTTTCCTGAGTTGGCTTGATGTGACTTCAGGAAAGGACTTTTGGCTGCCCCCCACTCAAAACTAAGCATTCAAAGGGCAAGGAGAAAATCTGTGTATTGGCTGGGCCCCAAATGGCATCATTTCCTGTGACATCTGATATTGAAGCAACAATAAAAATAAAAAGTGACAGATTCATTGAAATTCAGATGACGGGTTCGGATGACTCAACCATTTTCTCCAACCCATCCATCCAGGAAGGCATGTTTTCAGGTGTGCTGGTGAGTCATTTCAGCATTCACCCTTTATATTTTGTAATAGAAGTGGTGGAAGGTCCAGATCAAGCAAAACAGACCGAGAACCATCCTGAGAGCTCATCAGAGATGAAGGCCCAACAGCAGTTGTCTCCCATGTATTCTGAGTCAACCCAGAGGAAATATCCCATTGCAATCAAGAAGCTAATAGAAACAGGCTTCCCTTTACATTGCTCCTGGTCCTGGGGCAAGTCTAAGTCCAAGTCCAAGTCCCAATGCCAAAAGCATACGTGGAAAGAAGACAAGAAAAAATGTGTGCGGGTTCAGGTTCTGAAAGAAGTCATATGTTAAGTCAAAAAATAAACTCAGCCATTGCTTAGCCCTAAATGTCTTACCAGAGCAGTTCTTCAGTCGAAACCGCCCACAGCACAAGTGTTTTCGCCACTGTTTCCTCACATTCTCCTTCAGTAGACAGTGGAACACAAAGATAAAGAATCCTGTATCAGGCAAAGAAAGGCAAAGGAAGCGTTAGTGGGTTCACCAGCTCTATCTTGCCAGTGCACCAGGAGAACGGCCCTGGTCTTTGAATAGTGTCAGGGCTGTCCCATGCCATTAATGTGAGCCTGAGGGACACATTCTATCAGGCTCTGCTTCTTGTTGGGAATTCTGTGGGCCAGGGATTTGCCCACAAGTCCCTTCATTTCCTTCCCCCTTTTCCACTGCCCACATAGGCTGTTACAGTAATAGATTTGCAAACAGAAGACCAGGCCTGTCTATTGTAAGTTACTCTCATACTGTACAACTAACTCATTGGGGGGCCCCATGTTTCTGAAATCTATAAAATGAGAAGGGGGGTAGTCTAAATGATTTCTAATGGAAGGGTAATGGTGACCCTGTCTAGAATCTATAAATTTATGATACATGACTGATTATTTTTTAAACTCTGACAAACTGAGTGCCATCACTAACCCTGGCTACCCAAGACCAACTCCCCCCCAACTTCTTGGAACATGAAAGCTCTTCAGTGACCACTTCAGCCCTGGCTCCCCCGCCAAAATCATCCTTTCCCCTACAGAATCTGACTCACTTCAATGGCAGTGTCTAGTACAATCCTCATTTTCTAGACACAGAAATTGAGCAAAAGAGACAAAATACAACCAAGATGAACACAAGAGAATTTATTACCTATGTGACCCTCACCACCTGTGGATTCAATAGCCTCTGAAGTCCCTTTCACACGCTCCAACTCAATTTCTTTCTCTCTCATTCCTTAACCCCATTTCTCTCTCTCTCTCCTTCTCTCTCTGTCTCTCTGTCTCTCTCTCTGTCTCTGTCTCTGTCTCTGTCTCTCTCTCTCTCTCTCTCTCTCTCTCTCTCTCTTTCTCCTCTCCTCCCCCTCTGTCTTTGTCTCTATCTGTCTCTCTCATTCCCTTCTCTCTCTGTCTTTCTCTTTGTCTCTCTCTGCCTGGGTCCTTTATCTCTGCCTGTGTCCTTTATCTCCGTTTCTGTGTCTCTCTATTTTCTGTTTGTTCACTCTTATCTATTTTTGGACAGAAGACCTGGTATTGGCCCAGCTTCTGCCAATGGTCACTTCTCTCTGGGTCTGTTTTCTCTTTCTAACCATATCTTGCTTACCTCAAAAGAATGACTGTGAAGAGCAATTTAGATAATGGTGTAAAAATATGGTACAAAAATAAACCATAAATTGCAATGCCAGTAACTCTATTTACTACCTTTGTTGTTCTGAATGTAATGGCTTTGGATTTTTTTTTTAAATGGAGGTGCTTGAGTTTCTCAAGAGCCTGAGAAGACACTAACATGGTTGATGGGGTGGGGCATGTGTGGGGTCCCTTGTCTGAGCTGTATAGTTTCCTTATCCGTAAAGTAAGGAAGTTACTGCAGGATGCCTTCCTACCTAAGTGGGTTTTGACTAACCCCCTCTGCTACTTTCCATCTCTTAGAAGAATTGAACAAATACCTCCCCTACCCTCTCCACCATGGGAATTCCTAAAACAGACCTGTCCTGTCTCTTTTGGCCCTACTCGATCCTTGACCTAAATGGGCCTTGTTTTATTTAGTTGGGTAAGAGAGGAGGATGTTTGCTAACCACTTTCCCTTAACTGGCTGTTTTTTTTCTTAAGTCCTAATACTCCTCTCTCAAATAATTTTACCAGCTTCCCCTTCTTTCTCTCTCCATGACGCAGAGGCCTGAGGTCAAAATCTATCTAGGCCTGACATATCTGGACTCTGAGAGGCCCTGCTGTTTCAAGGACAGCCAGCATTGTCCTTCTCTTGCCTTCTCATAAAAAAGGAAGAGCAGAAGAAAAGAGGGGACCTGGGGTAGGAGTAGCAGTTGGCCACATTTTTGGACCATAACGTTCAACCTTTCATGGAGTCAGAATGTTAGAGGTGGAATTCCCTTTCCTGAATGATTATTGTTTCCCAGCCACCCCCTCTCCCCCAATTAATGGGGAAGCTGAGACCCAGAGATGGGTACCGGTCATTGAGGCTCTATTTAGTATCATAAAGTTCATCTGCCCTTCACAGAATGAGAATGTTAGAGGTGAAACCTCACTTGCCCCAGAATGATTATAACATTATTGTTTTCCCCAACCACCCCTTACAGGTTGGGAAACTGAGATCTAGGGAGGAGGAGCAGTACTTTGTCAAGGCTAGACTTAGTAAATAAAATTCAGTCTTCTCCAAGAATCAAAATGTTAGAGCTGAAAATCAAACTGGCTTTTAGAATTACTATCCTTGCTCTGTGCCCACTCTACTCCTGCCCCATTTGGACAGGTGGGGAAACTGAGATCCACGCAAGGCGGCAGTAGTTGTCAAGGCTGAGTAGACTACATCAATCTTCACAAAGAATCAGGATGTTAGAACTGGAACTCACACCAGCTCTAAGAGAAGGACTATAATATATCCTTGCTCTTTCCCTAAACCTCTACAAGTGAAGAAACTGAGACCCAGGAAGGGAAGGGCAGTAGATGTCAAGGTTACACTTAGAATCATCTATTTCATCCCCTTCACACAATAAGAATGTTAGAGCTGGCAACTTGCCCTAGAATGATTTTCATCGTTAATTCCTCAGCCCTCTCCCCACCCCTATTACAGTAGATGGGGGAAACTGAGGCTCAGGGATGGAGGGGCAGGGACGTCACACTTAGAAGTCATCTAGTTCATTCCCTTCACACAATAAGAATGTTAGAGCTGGGACTCTCACTAGTCCTAGAATGACTAAAACCATTGTTGTTTCCTCCTCCCACCCCCTTCTCCCCACCCCACCCTAGACACATGGGGCAGTGTTACTACATCAAAAGATTTCAGGTAGCTCATGGCAGCCAAGACTAGATCCAAGTCTTCTGCCTCCTTCCCAAGCTCCCAGTGGAATAACAAAAGGCAATTTGCTAAGTCTGCTGTCATTCCCACTGGCCTACCATCTTCAACCATGCGTCAGATTAAAGTGACAGCAGGCTAATAAAATGAATTTCAAGAAATGCTGGGAAATCTATACTGTGGCTTGGACTACAATTACTTTTCAGGCTTCTTCCCATTCCCTTGAATAATTAGATGGTTCAAATCTCCAACATCTAAGAGATGCCTAGTTGTCAGGCCAACCCGATCAATAGATACTGAAACACTCACCACACGGTGGCAGTTCCCTTGCCTTTGAGAACATCAGACCCCTACTGATGGCCTTCTCTGATGCTTCATCATGTCATGTTCTCCAAGGCTAGTAGCCTTGGAGAACATGTACATTCTGGTGGACATCAGTTAATAAGTCTGGCCAGGCTGGGAGTATGTACCCAAGGACCAGCCCCTATCTCTCAGCAGACTGGCTGCACAGAGTAATAAATCTTTCAGCTGTAGCAACGCTCAAGACCTTTTCAAAGTGTCAACAGTGAAATCACAGGTCATAATGGCCAAAAGAATTCATCACCTTGCAGCCAATCAGCTGACAGACTTTGAGACATAATAGACATGTAGACTGTTCTCAAAGGCACCGAGAATGAGCGTCAAAGGCCGCTGAATTGATAATAATTTATAATTAGTATAACTGGTAATTTATAAAATTAATAGCGTGCTTTCAGCTTTGCAAAGTGCTTTACCTACGTCAACTCATATGGTTACCTTGTGCTGTGTTAAAAAGGGAAAAGAGATACAAAAAAAGGATCCTCATGGGTCCCCAGGCAAAAAAAGCCAGGCCCCAGGTGAGACCAAGCAGGAAGGTGAGGCTTGTGGTACTCTTGAGGTCACTCAGGATCTTCTTTCTCCACACTTTCTGCTTCTGTAATTGCATGGAATTGATTTGGAAGAGAACAGTGAAGAACATGGATAGATTTAAGAGAAATATGAGGCAAAAATAGGCCACGATGGAGATGTAAAAGGTAAGATTGTCTTGAATCCAGCAGCTATGGGAGAAAAAAAGGCAGAGAAAGGGGAAAATATGTCAAGTAGAGGAAAAATAGGAACTCGAAAGAATTTTAAAACCAGCACGTCCTGACTAGCCCCCACCCCCAATTTTACAAAGGAGGAAAATGAGGCCCAGAGAGAGGGAATAACTTGCCTGAAGTCACATAGAGGTAGTACTAGAACTCGGGTCTCCAGACTCCCAGTCTAGGGCTGCACCATGAAGATGGCATCTACTACCTCAAAGATGGCATTTATTGGGGCAGCTAGGTGGCACAGTGGGTAGAGCGCAGGCCCTGGAGTCAAGAAGACCTGAGTTCAAATCCGGCCTCAGACACATAACACTTACTAGCTGTGTGACCCCGGGCGAGTCATTTAACCTCAATTGCCTCACCAAAAACAAAAACAAAAACTTTTGTGGCAGCTAGGTGGCCCAGTATATAGAGCACCAACCCTGGAGTCAGGAGGACCTGAGTTGAAATCTGGCCTCAGACACTTCACACTTACTAGCTGTGTGACCCTGGGCAAGTCAAGCCCAAGAAAGAAAAGAAAAAAAAAAGATGGCATTTATTAATTACCTCACGCTTATTATAATAGGATAGGATTGAATGTAGGACCTTTGAAGTCCAAGCCCCTCTGTTGTTATAGGAGATGAAACCAAGGCCCAGAGAGGGTTAAGGTTGCTCGTCTCAAGTGGCCTGACAAGTCCCCATCTGAACCAGAGCCAGCTCTCTCTTTGAAAGTTCACACTCAGAGTTGGAAGGGCTTTTAGAGGCTGTCTAAACATACCTAAAAAGTCCCCATTCCACTTCTTCTTAAAGATTTACAGTGAGGGGAGAGCCACTACCTCCCAAGGCAGCTCATTCCAGTCTGGGACAGACCTCAGTGCTAAGAAAAATGACCCTTACAAATCAGGCTGAAATTTGCTTCCTTACAATTTCTACCAATTAAATAGTTCCCATTTCTGCCCCTAGGGCCTAACAAAACAAGTTGAATCCCACTCTATTTTCTCAGATACAGTGAGACTGTCAATGGTAATGAAAACACAATGGACGGAGAATTGAGGAGGAACATGTTGTATTATGTGAATTTCAAGCCTCCCACTCTCTAGCCCTGACAGGGACAAAGGGAAGCACTAGGCCCTAAGGGGGTGATGGACGGTGTTTTTCTATTAAGAAGTGTGCAACGGTGCATGTGTAACATCTCCAATTACCTACCAGAGGCGTTCATTAATCATCTCTCTGTTGTGGGACATAGGTACAAGACCAATTTAATACGATAGCCAACAGTTTGTGGTCTCCCTTTCCTCCGCAGACCCGCACAGCAACAAATATTTGTATCTCACTTTAAGGTTTTTTGAAGCATCTCCCTCACAACCCCATAGTAATGATCTCCATTTTACAGGAGAGGGTAACTGAGTCAGAAAGAGAAACTTAGAAACTTCCTATGTTTTCAAGTAATAATAATAATGATAATAATAATAATAATAATAGCTAACATTTATATAGCAGTTACTGTGTGCAAAGCACTGTGTTCTAAATAAGCACTTTACAAATTATCTCATTTGATCCTCACAACAGCCCTGGGAGGTAGGTGCTCTTATTATCATCCCCATTTGACAGGTGAGGAAACTGAGGCAAACAGGGTAAAGTGACTTGCCCAGGGGTCACACAGTTAGTAAGTTTCTGAGGCTGGATTTGAACTCAGGTCTTCTTGACTCCAGGCCTGGTGCTGTAATATCTACTACATCACCTTAAGTGCCTGTTTCATGAGGGTGCTATCATCTAGAAGAAAAAGGATGAGACTTGTTCTGTTTGATCTTAGAGAACAGAAGTAGCAACAGTGAAACTGGGGATTGCAAGAGGCAAATATAAGTTTGACATGAAAAAAACTCTCTAACAATGAAGAACACAGTGTCCCAGAGCAGGGTGGACTGTTTTCAGAAGTGAGGAGTCTGCAGGCCTTTAGGTGACATTCCTGATCTGCTAGGGATTAGACTATTAATATCTCTCAGTGGGGGGCAATCAGCTTCAGGAAGGTCAGGCTCTGCCAGAGAAATCAATATGGAGTCAAATGAACTCTGGGCTTGGAATCAGAAAGCATGGGTTTGACCAGGTTCAGCTAGCTCTAGACCTTAGACAAATCGATGAGCCTCAGTTTCCTCAGTGCCCCAGACAACTAAGACAAAGTTGCAGAGTGTGTGCAGATCTACACTGGCAGAGGGAGTTTTCACACTGGGAGTTTCCTACATAGGCCGAAAAGAGACTATATCGTGAGATTTCTCTAATGACGTCGTCCTCTGATGCTGCTTGCAAGAATCCTGAGTTCTCAGCGGGGGAACCCAAACTCTAAGAGGGTGAAAAAAGTGGGAGCTTCCAAGATATGTCTGTCATCTGAGGTCTGGCCTAGCTGTGTAGGAAGAAGCTTGCCCCCAGGGTGGCGCCAGAATCTGGAGAGCTGAGTTTGAGTCCCTCCTTGTGTGCTCACCCCATTGACTTTCCTAGACTAGGTTAATCCAAAAGAGTCTAAACTTTGGAAGGGCAACTGAGCTACAATAGACATGACAAGTTGTCATCCACATTTGCTTCCCCTTAGTGCAGGCTCATCGACTTCCTGCCAAGGCGACCCTTTCTGCTTTAGCTAGATCTAATTATTAGAAACTTTTTTCTTTCCATCAAGCTGAAATTGGTGTCTCTGAAAATTTCTACCTATTATTCTTTTTATGTCCTCTGGAACCAAGTAAAATGAGGCTGAGCCTTCTCTCACAAGATGGGACTTCAAATATATAATAATAACTGACATTAATAACTAACATTTACATAGTACTTTACATATATAAGATAAAAAGATCCCACATATAGACCTGGAGGGGCCTCAGAGGCCATCTTTTTCAGATGGGGAGACAGAGGAGGTTATGTGACTTGCCCAGGGTCATACTGCTTTTAAGTGTCTAAGGTGAGATTCAAACCCAGGTCTTCCTGGCTCTAGGTCCAGCATTTTGCCCACTAAATCTTCACTGCCTCTGCTCAAAAACAGCTTTCATATGCCCCCTGAACCTCTCTTCTTCAGGCTAACCATCTGGGGATGGTTCCTTTACCCTATCCTCATATAGCATGATCTTAAGGCCCCTTCACCATCCCAGTCCACCTACAATGTGGCTTCCAGGACTGAACACAGCACTCGAAGCGTGGTCCGACTCATGTATCCTTAGCCCTGGTCAGACCATTATAGGAAGGCATGGCGATGGGGAATGAGGAACAGAGCAGGGCGGCAGGGATGGGGCAGTTGTGTTTTGTCCCAGTGGAGAGAGCACTTAATCAATGAAATCAATCTTGCTTGAACTGCTGAAATCTGGGAAACCAGATCGCCACTTACTTTATCCACTGGAAAGTCCCAGTACATCCCTCCCCTTCACGTGCCTCTCCTGCCACCCCACACAGTTTTCATTCATTCATTCATTCAAGACACTTGTACTTACAATGATGTGGACGTCTTCAAAATGCCATAAAAATCCCTCTTCATGATTAGTATGATCCCAACGATGACTGCTGGGACTCCTAGTGGGGAATCGGGAAGGGAGGGGTGAACAAAAGAAGACCAAATTAGGCAGGAACAGAGACAGAGAGAGCATACCTTAAGAAACCTCCTGCCATGTTAAATGAGTCACAGACGGATGGGCATCAGAACACCATTGTTTGTGGATTCTCCAAAGCTAAACATCCTGAGGAGGAGTTTTCCAACCTGCTAACAGAAACAGTGGGCCAATGGCTCAAACATAGCACCCATGGCTTATTACAAACAGCAGCCATGCCAAAAAGCAACTTGGCGGTGGGTGAGCTGGGATGCGGATTTTCATCTAGCATTTCTTCCTCCAAAGTAGGGCTCCCCAGTTTTCTTCTTTGGCACACTGCTTCCAGGCAGGTGCTTATGCCTCTAGAGCCCTGCCAGGCCATCTTGGAAAAAAGTGCTCTTTCAGCCTCAGTCTCCTTAGCTATAAAGTGGGCATAATAACCCTGGCACTGACATGAGAGGACTGAACCTGAGTTCAAGCCTGCTTCTAACTGGCTGTGTGACCATGGACAAGTCATTTGATCTCAAAGTTGCAGATGAGCTGCTGCCCTACCTCAGAAACTACCACAGTTTCTACATCATAAGGAATTTCAGTGAAATCATGGACCAAATAAAAAATCTTCTAAGAGTTTTTTCCTTGTCCCAAGAACTTTGAGGCATACTTTTTGCACATAATCATGGGATATCAGATTTTAAAGAGAACTGGAGAGCATCTAGCTCAATGACCTCATTTTACAGAAAAGGAAACTGAGATCTGGAGAGGGGAAAGTTACACACAGGTAGTAAAGAGTAGAGATGGGACTAGAACCCAACTCTCTTGATTCCAAACCCAGTATTTATTCCCCTATAATACCAAAGCATGCTATAAGCTGTTTTACAAAGGTAGTCTAAGATGCCAGTGAGAATCTTGTGCCCTGAGGTGGTGGCAGTGTCAAAGCAGAGGAGGGGGCATATTCAAGAGATGCTATGAAAGGAAAATCAACAGGCAACAGATTGGATATGGAAGGGGAGCAGCTTAGGGGGTGGGGATGACACCTAGGTTTCAAGCCTAGGTGACTGGGAGGATGGTGTTCTCCTCAACAGTAACAGGGAAGTTAGAAGAGGGAAGGGTTTGAGGAAAAGATGATGAGTTCTGTTTGGGACATGTTGAGTTCCAGATGTCTGAAAGGCAGCTGGAGATGTGAGACTGAAGATCACCAAAGAGGTAAAGGCTGGATAGCTAGATTTGAAAATCATCAACATCGAGATCATAATGGAATCCCTGGGAGCCGATGAGATCAACAAGTGCAATAATACAGAGGGAGAAGAGAAGAGGGCCCAGGACAGAGCCTGACCTGGGGAAAGATCCAACAGAGGAGACTAAGAAGGAGGGGGGCTAATGGATAGGAGAACCAGGAGAGAGTAGCGTCAAGAAAACATAGAGAGTTTAATCTCTTTTGGCCTCAGTTTCCTCGTTTGTAAAATGAGACAGTTGGTCTAGATCAGGGGTGACCCATGGGATGTAGTTTGCTGAAACCCAAGCTAAATGATGTCTAATGTCCCTTCCAGCTCTAAATCTCCTATCCTTTGAATCCATCCATTTAACCAGTTCCAAATCCATTTAATCCTAGTATTGTTTAATCTGCACCTCTGCATCTTTGGAGAATGGTATGAGATACTTTGGAGATAGCTAGGTGGCGCTGCAGCGCATAGTGCACTGGGTCTGGGGTCAAGAAGACCTGAGTTCAAATCTGGCTCAGACACTACCTGTGTGATCCTGGGCAAGTCACTTCACCCTGTTTGCCTCAGTTTCCTCATCTGTAAAACGAGGAGGAAAAGGCACTCCAGTATCTTTGCCAAGAAAACCCCAAATGGGGTCACCAAGAGTCAGACACAACCAAAATGACTGAGACCACTACCACAATAACAAATGAAATACTTTGTCAAGTAGATAAGTCCAAAGAAGTAGTCTGAAGGTACGATTAAGTGACTTGCCCAAGGAGGCTTAGCTAATAAGCAGTAGCACAGCTAAAAAGCATTGAAGCTACCATATGAATTCAGGTCTCTTGACTCCAAATCTGATCTGCTTTCCAATACTATGCTTCTCCTTTAGAAGGCAGTCCAATTTAGTGGAAAGAGCATTGTACTCGGAGGAAGGAAAAATCTGGCAAATGACCTTGTCAGTCCCCTGCTCATGGGGTTACTATTGCTCCTTCTTACCTTTGGGATAAAATACACTCTTGAGTACTCTTCGCTATCTGGCTTTGAGGTTAATTATACATTATTCCCCACCCCTGCTATACACATATCCTCATTTCCAGCCAATCTGGCCAATTCCCCATGCCCTGAACACAGCTTTTTATCTTCCCCTTCTGTCTCCCATGCAGTCCTTTGGAAACATTGAAGCACACCACAAATGGTACTTGAATGGAGAGACAACAAAATGGAAGAACAGCTTGAGATCCAAAGCCAGGGGCATCATTACTTACCCCAGCCAACCAGGCAAAATTTAAGCATGTAATTTTTCACATAGACGTTGAAGACTTTGACCAGGGAAAAATACATGTGGACAGCTTCCAGGCCCATCCAAGTGAAGGAGGAGATCAGAAAATAATGGAGCAGCATGGCCAGGGCGATACAGAGGCCAGAGTTTTCAAAGGCCGTCAACCAGGAATTGGTCAGAAACAACAGGTTCAACATCAGCAAGGAAACACACAAATTGATCAGGATTTTGGATGGATTATCTTGACGAAGTTGGCTAAAAGGAAAAAAAAAACATGAGAAGAATTTAGCTGGCATCTCTGTATACTTGTTTTGGCTTGTTTTTTAAGTGCTATCGATTTTTGTTTGTTTGTTTGTTTGCTTTAATATCAGTTATTTCCAGCTAAGGTGGCACAGTGGATAAAGCTCCAGCCTTGGAGTCAGGAGGACCTGAGTTCAAATCCAGCTTCAGATACTTGACACTTACTAGCTGTGTGACCCTGGGCAAGTCACTTAACCCTGATTGCCTCTCCAAAAAAGAAGTTATTGCCAGCTATACTGATCCCCTAAATCAGTGAGCCTTATTCTATAATGCAGGTTCTTAGCCTTTTGGGTGTCCTGGACCTCTTGGGTAATCAGTCTACTGAAGCCTATGGACTCCTCAGAATTAGGTTTTTAAATGTATGAAATATGTAGGATTACAAAAGAAACCAATTACATTGAATTCAGTTATCAAAATATTTTAACCAAATTCATATACCCCAGATCAAGTGCCCTTAATTTATAATGAAGACCAAAAAAAAAAAAAATCAATGAAGAAATACCAGGAGACGCATTGTTTGCATCTGACTACGTCTATCAGAATTCCACACTCATAGTTTCCCATTTCTCCAAGTTAAAAAGAAAGCTACATTTCCTCATCTGTTCTATGAGGCCAAGACTGATCATTAGAATTACAAAGTATTCATCCCTGCACATTTTTAAATGGTTTTCATCTGGCAGACATCCTTTTTTAATGCAAACTTGTGATTTCATCTGTGCGGGGGAACTTTTGGTGTAGAAATTCCCTGCAGTGATGCAGAGTCGCAACTCGTCTATAATTTACAATCTTAGACAATTGCCAAGGACACATAGAAGCAAAACAAGGAGTCCCACAGAGGCAAGACTTGATCCCAGGTTTCCTGATTCTATCCACCTCACCATGCTGTCTCTCTTCTACATTATGCCTGTTGCACACACATGCACATAAATATATATGAATATAATGTATACATACATGTTTGTGTGTATGTATACAGGTCTGTCATTCAGTCATTTCCATTGTGTCTGACTCTTCATGAACCCATTTGGGGTTTTCTTGGTTCCTTCTCCAGCTCATTTTACAGATGAGAAAACAGGCAAACAGGGTGAGGTGACTTGCCCAGGGTCACACAGCTAGGAAGTGTCTGATACCAGATGTAAAATCAGGAAGATGAGTCTTCCTGACTCCAGGCCCAGCACTCTATCCACTGAAGCGCCACCTAATTGATGTTACACATACATTCATGTATGCATGACATATACATGCATGTATGGCAGCACAATATAATCAAAACAGCATGGAACTTAGAGTGAGTTGACTTGGAATTAGGGTTCCACTTCCAAAACTCAACAGTTGTGTGATCTCTGGACAAGTCACCTTCCCTCTTTGTGCCTCAGCTTGGTCCTCTGCAAAATGGGATCGATCATATTTGTTTCTCCCACCTCACAAGGCTATTGCTAAGAGAAGGCACTCTGTAAGTGGTAAAGCACTCTACAGATGTGAACTATGACTAGAATTTTACAGGAGAGATTGGAATGGAAAAGCATTTATTAAGCTCTTCCTAAGTGGCATCATGGTTGGGTGTCTGTTGCATTTGTCAGAGTTGTTAAGTCTTTCATGGTTCTTTTCTTTTACAATTTCGTAATCATTATAATTTTGTAATCACTATTTTCCTAGTTCTTACTGCACTTCATACAAGTCTTCCTAGTGTTCTCTGAATCTGACCTATTTGTCATTTCTTATGGTACAGAAAATATTCCACTACATTAATATACCATAATTTGATCAGCCATTCCCCAACTGATGGGCACCCCCCCACACACCCACATATCCATGTACTTAGTTTCTAGGGGTTTTTTTTGCTACTATTAAAACAACTACTACAAAGATCTTTGTACATATGAATCCTTTTCCTCTTTCTTCAATAAGCAAACCTCAAAGTAGTATATTGTGAGGCCAAAGGGTATACACAGTTTAGTGACTTTGGGGTATAGTTCTGAATTGCTTTCCAGAATGGTTGGATCAGTCCACCGACAACGTATTAATGTGCCTGTTTTCCTGCAGCCCCTCCAACATTTGTCATTTTCCATTTATGTTATCTTTGCCAATCTAATGGATATAAGATGGAACCTCAGAATTTGCATTTCTCCTAGTATTAGTGATTTGAAACATTTTTTTCATATGGTAGCTGATAGCTCGAATTTTCTTCTTTTGAGAACTATCTGTCCCTATCTTTTGACTGTTTATCTATTGGGGAACAGTCCTCGTTCTTATTGAATCAGTCCCCCACACATCTACATATTTGACCTTTATCAGAGAAGTTTGCTGCAAAGATTTTTTTCCTAATTAATTATTTCCTTCTAATTTTAACTACATTGATTTTTGTTTGTGTAAAAAGTTTTCAACTTTATACAATCAGATTTTTATCTTCTGTGATTCTTTCTGTGCCTTGTTTGGATAATAACTATTACTTTATCCATTGTTATGCAATGTGTCTCCTTCCCTACACTCCTCTAATTTGTCTATTATGTGACCTTTTATATCTAGGTCATGCATCCATTTGGAACTTATTGTGGTATGTGGTATAAGATGTTGGTCTGAACCTAATTTCTATTAGACTGCTTTCCAGTATTCCCAGCTGTTTTTTTTTAATAGTGTGTCCTGTTCTTAATGCTAGGGGTTCTTGGGTTAATCAAACACTATGCTTCCATGACTGTTTTTTTCTGGACCTTGTCTACCTCATCTATTCCACTGATCAATTTTTTTATTTTTTAACTAGTTCCAAATAGCTTTTGATGGTTACTGGTTTATAATGTAGTTTGAGATCTGGTGCTGCTATATGCCCTTCTTTCTTACCTTCTTTCCCCCATTATTTCCCTTAAGATTCTTGGCCTTTTGTTCTTCCAAGTGAATTTTGTTGTTTTATTTTCTTGTTCTATAAAGTAACGCCTTGATAGTTTAATTTATATGGCATTGAATAAGTAAATAAATTTGAGTAAGATTAGTCATTTTTATTACATTGGCATGGCCCGTCCATGAGGAATTAATATCTTTCCAATGATTTAAAACTATTTATTTCTAGAAAACGTGACTTGTAGTTGTATTCATATAATTCCTTGGCAAGTGGACCAATTACCTACAGTCTTTTAAGAATAACGTAGATACCCTGCTTGTCCCTTTTAATCAGATCTGCTTTTACTGTTGCCTTATTTGAAACCACGATTGCTACCACTGCCTTTTCAAATTCACATGAAGCATAAAAAATTCTGCTCCAGAGAGGGCAGAGCCAAGATGGCAGAAACCTCTCAAATTCCTCTCTAAAAACCTTTAAAATAAAGCCTCAAAATGAATTCTGGAGGGGCAAAACCCATAAAAGGATGGAGTGAAACAATATTCTAGCCCAAGACAACTTAGAAGATCGGCAGGAAAGGTCTGGCTCATTGCAGAGGGGAAAACACAATGCAACGTATGGCACCCACACTGCTGCCCTCCCAGTGGGCCCAGGGCACAAGCCAGCAGTAGGCCTTGGGGGCAACTGAATTTGCAACAGCAACTTCTGCCTTCTGGAGCTCTAAGCCTTGACTGTAAGGGGAATGGACAATTGGTCACAAGATTTCAGGGGACCCTCAGCTGGCACTAGACCTGGAATCAGGAAGAGCTGAGTTCAGATGTGGCCTTAGACATTTACTATTTATGTGACCCTGGGCAAGTCACTTAACCTCTGTTTGCCTCAGTTTCCTCATCTGCAAAATAGGGATAATAATAGCACCTAACTCCCAGGGTTGTTGTAAGATGAGATAATATTTGTAAAGTACTTTGCAAACATTAAAATATTATATAAATGCTAGCTATTATTATTATTAGGTTCTCTGAGATATCGAGGCCTACCCCCACTTCTACCCCTACCTAAAGTTGTGTCTAAACCATGCCACATATTTAAATTAAAAACTGAAACCAAAATCATTGCAGCAAATTTCTCTGATAAAGATCTCATTCCAAAATACATACACACATATGCATACATGCTGCATATATGGAATTGATTCAAATTTATAAGAACAAGAGCTGCTCTTTAAAAGATAAATGGTCTAAAAATAGGAACAAGTAGTTTTAAAAGGAAGAAATCCAAGCCATTAACAACCACATGAAGAATGCTCCAAATCAATAATAATAAATAGAGAAAAGCAAATTAAGGAAACTCTGAGGTACTACCTCACACCCATCAGTCTGGCAAAGATGACATAAATGGAAAATGACAAGTGCTGGCGGAGCTGCAGGAAAACAGGCACACTAACACAGAGCTGTGAACCTCTCCATCCATTCTAGAAAGTGATTTGCAAGTAGGCCCAAAAAGTCACTAAGCTGGGCAGTATGCCCAGTGATATCACTACAAGTCCTAAATCCCAAAGAGATTGAAGAAAGAGGAAAAGGAATCAAATATACAAAAATATTTGCAACAGTTCTTTTTGTAGTGGCAAAGAAGTGGAAACTAAGAGGACGATGTCTCCATCCATTTGGGAATGGTTGAACAAATTATTGTGCCACAACAAATGATGAAATATACTGTTTTAGAGAAACCTTGGAACACTTGTATGAAATGATGCAGAGTGAAATGAGCAGAACCAGAACAATTTATACAATAACACCATTATAAAGATAAGCAACTCCAAAGGACTTAAGAACTCTGATGAATGCAATAACTAACTTCTGATTTCAAAAAACTAATAATGAAGCATGCTACCTACACACCTCCTGACAGAGAGGTGAGTGACTCAGGGTATGGAATGAGACATATAATTTTTGTTCAAGGGCAATTTAGGAATTTGTTCTACTTGACAATGCATATTTGTTACAAAGGTTTTAATTTTTGTTTTTTTTTTCCAATGGGGGAAGGTAGGATGAAGAAATAAATGCTTGTTGATTTTAAAAAATGTTTTTAAACAAGGGGCAGCCCCCATCCCCCAAACCAAATGAAACCACCAGCTGTGTTCCATGATATTACCCAAAATTTGGATGTTTCTCAGGGTGTAACAGGCACAATCTAAGTTTTACCCAACAAAGACAGTTTAACCCTAGAGAAACTGGCCAAGTATTTTCTTGGATTTTCCCCATTTACCTTCTGTCCCCTGACTTCTTAACAATCCAATTGTATTTAACTCAAAAAAATTATTGCTGATAAATGGAGTCCTAATTGGCCCAACTTTTTAAAACCTGCCCACTTCATTTTTCAATTGGTCAGACCTCTTCTTTTCTTCTCTGCCCTTGAAATGTACATACTAAGTAGGAAAATAGCATCAACGATATAGAGCTATACACATACATATACACAGGCACACAGAGAAAAGATTGCATCTACTTACCGAAAAGCTAGATAAGTCACCGTTGCAGTTCCCAAAAAAACAGAAGAGATTCCACATCCAGAATATGTTATGATTGTTAAGATCTGTTCATTGACCTTATCCACTTCAGACCTGGACAAATCCTAAGGAACAGAATACATACATATTAGAGACTCAACATGGGAGACCTGGGGCAAAATGGTGTGGGCATCCCAAAATGGGAGGCTCTCGGGGTCTGCCACTAAGCATTTCTGCTGTCACCATCCATGGATTTTTTTTTAAGCTCTGGACTTGAAAACTCAGCTCTGTTCCTTAATTCCTCTCAATACTCCCCCTGGCCAACAATTTAGGCCAAATTACGCCAACAAATTAGGACCCACCTTCCTACCCTGCAAAGAATCTCTGGTTACAGAGTATATGTGTATGTGTATGGATGGATGGATGGACGGATGGATGGATGGGTGATATATATATATATATATATATATATATATATACACATATATACATACATACATACACACAGAGAGATATATCATAGGAATATAGAATAGTTGCAGAAGTCACTGTTGTCCAGTAACCTGGGGAGGGATGGTGTGGAGTGGTGTCATAGAAGCAGGAAGTGGCAAAACTTGGGTTATCTGCCTTAAATCCAGTGCCTATTGTTCTATACCACAATGCCTCCCTAATATAGGTATGAAGGGGATTTCACATCTAGGCAAGCTCCATGAGATCACAGAATGTCGGAGCTAGAAGGGACCTTAGAGATTCTCTATTCCAACTCCTATAGATGGACATTAAAAAGCTTTTACAGGGGGCAGCTAGATGGTGCAGTGTATAGAGCACCGGCCCTGGATTCAGGAGGACACCTGAGTTCAAATCCGGCCTCAGACACATAACCCTTTCTAGCTGTGTGACCCTGGGCAAGTCACTTAATCCCATTTCCTAGCCAAAAAAAAAAGCCTTCACAGAAGACATAACATTTGATTTGGGCCTTAAAGAATGGTCATGATGGCATTTGGTTGAGATGGAGGGAAAGTTCAGGTATAAGATGATGAAGGGAAGGGTATTTCAGGTGCAATGTCTTAACATGTGTGAAGATGTGGTGATAGGAAAGCACAGACATGTTCAGAGAACAGAAAATAGTCCATTGTAGTTAGAATGAAAGTGGAGCATGTAAGTGGAAGGAGAAAATTGTAAACCTAAAGAGGTAGGCTGAACCAAATTGTGGAGAACTTGGATGCTGATCTTAGGAGCTTGTATTTTGTTTTGTATGTAATGGGAGGCCATTGAAGGGCTCGAGGCAGGGGCGTGATGTGGTTAGACACACAAATCTGGCAGTGGTGGGTAGAAAATACTTTCAATGCCCAGGTGGGATGTAATAGGGGACTTTTTAACTAGAGTAGAGGGTGGTATGGTATGGTAAGGAGAGTACTAAAAGGCCTGGGGATTCTGGATGTGCCCCCATAACCACAGTCCAGTAGAGGGGAGCCAGATTTATCTTGGGGCACCTCAGACCTGGGATAGTAAATTTCCAGAAGTAATCTCATGTTTATCATTCCACCTACATCTTTGAATATTTCTTTCCGGAGCTTTAGGTCTGTTCTACCCCCAAGGCCTTAGAGACCCCAAAGCAACAGCTTTTACTTATACAAAACTTTCTTCTGTGACTCAGCTTACACGCAAATGTTGTTTGCAATTTAATGACATTTGCCTCAATTCTCTCTGGGAAAGATTCATGGCCAACTTACCATTAAGACTCCAAAGTGAGTAAGATGATTACACTGACAGATTGTATAATTGACATCCGTTTTGTTTACTTCACAGCCTGATGAATTCCATCCACCTAGTCCATCTGCAGGACACAGAAGGGAATTTCAAAGCAATTTCATTTTTCTCAGAAATGTTTAGCTTTGCACTGGGCAAACACCATGTGAACATGTGTTAATGATTGGTATTGTCTAGTAGGATGGTGAAATGGTAGCATAACTTAAAATTGAAATCCAATTAAATCTAAAAGGCAAAATAACAGTGGGGACTTAGTATATGGCATAACTTCTCTGGATTTCACTTTTCTTGTTTTAGTATTAAGCCTCTTTAGCTAGGATGAATTAGAATTAGCAGCAGCAACCCCACTACCACATACAAGTGATGGAAGGAAGGCTGATCTAAAGGACAACAGACAAAAGGAACGGGAGGTTCTTAGAGGTTGGGAGGGATCGGGGCTGGACATTTGGGCATCCCTCAGGGGCAATGGAATGGTCCTTAAGTACTAGGGGCTGCATGAGGCCTGCCAATGCAAATGCCCTTTGGTCCCTACTAAGCTTGCCTGAGGGAACCATGTGGGTCTAGAATTTCTTTGAGCCCAAGCCCAAATTCCACCCTAGAGAGACCTGGACGGCTAGGTGGATCTCCAGGCCCTCTGATCCCCTTGAGAATGCCTTGGTTGTACTTCTAAGGACAATAAGGACCCAAATCATGATGAAAATCAAATTATCTACTTCTGGATGTAAGGGATCAGAGCATATATGGAGTAGAGTCTTAGAAAGCAGCTCCAGAACAAGCAATTCCCCCTAGGACATGTCCTTTTAGGTCAACCCCATGGTCTCTACAGGCTCAGGAAGCAAAGTAACTTACCAGAAGGTGGCATAACCATCTATGCACTCATATACAGCCATTCTCAGACTTCTTGGGGTAGAATTAGAGGTGGGAAAAATGGTGCAGCATGATAGCTAGGGCTCTTTCACAGATTGTGAGAGCCCCCCCCACCCATAAATACTGGAACCCACTCAATCCAATTCATAGTATACCAATCAATTACTCCCCAAAAAGCTACTAGCACCCTCTAGTATTCCTACCTGCTGGTTTGGTTGAAAGAAGAGTGAAAGAAGGGAGAGAAGTATTACTGCCCTTCCTATTCCTCCCATCTCTTGATAGTTTTCTTCTATCAATCCAAGGATAACTTGAGCTGGCCCTTTTAATCAACTACCTCAAGTAGCCTGTCCACTATGTGAGTTTATGGGTTTTTTTTTAAGAGAAGTCACAGGCCCAGAGGATTATACGTTTTTATCTAGGAGCCTCAGAGCTCATCCTGGTCCTCGCTTAATGGAAGTCTGAGACCTAAAAAAAAAAACGTGATTTGCCCAAGCTCTCACAGGTTTTTGATAATCCCTGATTGGATGTAGGAAGCATGTGATCTTTCTGAGCCTATTAGAGAGCAGCGTAGAGTTTGCCAAGATAAAAGTCTTCTGTACAGTCAACCAAATGTAAGCAGCCAGGGGCAGCTAGGTGGCGCAGAGGATAGAGCACAGACCCTGAAGTCAGGAGGACCTGACCTGAATTCAAATCTGGCCTCAGACCAAACACTTGACACTTACTAGATGTGTGACCCTGGGCAAGTCACTTAACCCCAATTGCCTAAAAACAAAAACAAAAAACAAAAACAAATATAAGCAGCCACGTGCTTGGGCTTCTTCTAAACAACTGTGGTCTTCTGGCTTCAAAATCCATCCATTAGTAAAAGAGCCTTTTCTGTTGCTATCGTGGAACTCTGGCCATAGATTGCTTCATGTCAGCCAAGTAATGTGGGGCAGTGTAGAGAACCCAGGACTTGGAGGCAGGAAGACCCGAGTTCAAATTCTGTCTTAGATATTTGTTAGCTCTGTGACCCTAAGCAGGTCACTTAAATCTCTCTGGGCCTCCATTTCCTCATCTGCATAATGGGGACAATAATAATGCCTACCTCACAGGTACAGGATTGTTATGAAGATCAAACAAGAAAATGTATTAATTTGAAAACCTTAAAAGTACCACTTTGATGTCAGCTACAGTGATGATGCTGGTTATTATTAGCATGATTGTTTTATGTTCCTTCAAGTTTCCATCATTCCATCTACTAGTAAAGACCAACAGAATGAAAATTGAAAATATTAGACAATCCAAACATTTCACAAGATCCATAGAATACTAGAACTAGAAAGGGCCTAAGAGAAGATTTGGTTCAATGCACTCCATTTTGCAGATGAGGAAACTAAGGCCCTGAAATGGGAAGTGATTTGCCCAAAGTCACATAGCTAATAAGTAAAACCTCTGTGATCCAGAGCCAGGACTGCTGACTCCAACGCCAGGATTCTTTTTTTGGGGGGTGGGGGGTGGGGGTGGGATTAGGCAATGGGGTTAAGTGACTTGCCCGGGGTCACACAGCTAGTGAGTGTAATGTGTCTGAGGCCAGATTTTAAACTCAGGTCCTCCTGACTCCAGAGCCAGTGCTCTATTTACTGTATTACCTAGCTGCCCCCGAGGCCAGGATTCTTTATAGTAAACTGAGCTGCCTTTTACACTCAACTTCTGAGGTTATTAAATAATTTATGATTCCTTTTTTTTAACAACAAATTTGTTCCCTTTAATTATATTTTGTTCTTCTTAATCTCAAGATTCTTTGTTGTTTTTTTTTGTTTGTTTTTTTGGGTTAGGCAATGGGGTTAAGTGACTTGCCCAAGGTCACACAGCTAGTGAGTGTTATGTGTCTGAGGCCGGATTTGAACTCAGGTCCTCCTGACTCCAGGGCTGGTGCTCTATCCACTGCACCACCTAGCTGCCCCCTAATCTCAAGATTCTTTTGCATTCTCTGAGTATACACTGATAGAAGGCAGGAGAAGGCAGCCCTAAAGCATGCTGGGTGGCAGAGGAAAGTCTTCCTGCATATGGATGAGCCACAGGTAGAAAATGGAAAGGTGGTGATAGCTTCATTTGACTCTTCACCTTCTCCCCTTCTCCCCCATAACATTATTCCTAAAGACCAAACCATCAAAAGATGCAAGAAATAAATTTCTCCCAAGGGAAGTTAAAGAAACTCAAATACTGCCTGCCATACTCACCATTCTTCTCAAAGTCCCAGAATACACACTGGACATGAGCCCACTTCTGCAGAAAATAGAACCTAGCATTAATGAAGTCTCTTCTTGCAGCATCCAGGCAAAAAGACAAACACCTTTCCAGTTTTGCTCTAAGCTCTGCTTAGTAGGGACTCACATCATTTCTTAATTTTAGGAACTGCGTTGTACATGAAAAGACTCCCCCATGTCTAAACAAGATCAAAGGATCTTCCAGGTACCCTTTAAAATATTTTATGAGGTGTTTGGGGATTTGACACAGTGTCCTGATCAGGGGAGGAGGTTGGTAGTATTCCCTAAGCTGGTGGAATTACAGTCCCATGATACCTTGGCTCAGACAAAGGGTCAAATTAGGGCCAGAACCGAAGTTGAATCTTACTTGTTCTAGGCTGATCTGCCTCCTTACCAGGCCATGATGGACAGTCACAAAAACCCCAGTCCTCCCTAAAATCTTCTGATGACCAAGACAGAGGCCAAGATATGGACCCAGTGGCCAAGTAGGGCAGGTTTGGGCACTGTGGTCTCCAGAAAGGGGAATTAGGCCACAAACCCAGAATGGCTAACATTTCACTCATAGGATGATAGATTCAGAGTTAAAACAGACGTTAAAGGTCATCCAGTTCAACCACCATTTTACAGATGAGGAAACTGAGTCAGAGAAGAAATGTTCAGTGGCTTGCCCAAAGTCATAAAAATGGCAAAGGTAGAATTAAAACCCAGGTTTCCTGACTCCAAATCCCCTGGACTTTCCCCCTGGACTGTGCTGCCTCAAATAAATCACCAAAATAGCATATTTGATTAGCTTCTTTCTCATGGGCTAGAAACAAAGTCAGTGGAAAAATGTGGCATACCTTATTGTTCTAGAATCATTAATAATAATAATGCCAGCAACAACTAGCATTTATATTACATTTTAAGGTTTACGAAGTCTTTCACATGTGTTATCTCATTTTATCCTCACAACAATCCTAGGAGGTAGGTGCCATTATGATCCCCATTTTGCAGATGAGGAAAACGAGGGTGAGCAAGTAAACTGACTTGTCTGGCGTCATACAGCTAAATAAATATCTAAGGCAAAATTTTAACTGAGCTTTACCTGATTTCAATTCTGCCCTCTATCCACTGTGCTTCTTAGCTGCCATGGAATCATTTCAATTTTAGGGTTGGAAGGGACCTCGGAGGTTACCTGGTCCAACGGGTATCTAAATAGAAATTCTCTCTATGACTTTAACTTTGCTTAAAGACCTCTGTGGATGGCGAACTTGCTATCTGCAAAGGCAACCTCTTCTGCTTTGGATTAGCTCAAATTGGTAGGATATTTTCCCCTTGTATGGAGCTGAGATGTGCCTTGGGCCTTTTAAATTAGGAAGAATAGAAGATTAGATTTTTTTTCACTGAATCGAGGTTAACAGCAAAGGATGGCTCACAAAATCACAGAATCTCAGGGTGGGAAAGGACGTCCAACACTATCTGGTTCAACACATACATGCAAAAAGATCTCTTCCAGGGGCAGCTGGGTGGGTAGAGCACCAGCCCTGCAGTCTGGAAGACCTAAGTTCAAATGTGGCCTCAGATCCTTATTAGCTGCGTGACCCTGGGCAAGTCACTCAACCCAGATTGCCTCAAAAAAAAAATAGGATGTCTTCCACACCATACTTGAGGGGTGGCCATCTGGCTTCTAGTGAGGGAGTCCATTCCACTTTGAGACAGCTCTCATTGTTAAGAAGTTCTTCTGCCTCAGTGGGGGGTCTTTGCAAATTCTACACCTGGCTGTCCTCTGGCACCAAGCAAATCATGTCTAATTCCTTTTACACACGATAGTGCTTCCTTCAAAAATTTGCAGACGATCAGTATTCCCCCCCCCCCAACTGCCAACTGTCGGCTCCCTAGCCTTCTCTGAGTTCCTGGCATTGGAAGCAAGTAGATTTGGGTTAAAATTCCATCTCTGATACTAGCAAGTGCTTGTCCATGCAGTGGATAGAGGCCTAAACCTAGAGTCAAGAACACCTGAGTTCAAATCCAATCTCAGAAACTTACTAGCTGTGTGACCTTGGGCAAGTCACTTGACCTCTGTTTTCCTCAGTTTCCTCACCTGTAAAATGGGGATAATAATAGCACCTCCCCCCTCCCAGGGTTGTTGTCAGGATCAAATGAGATAATAATTGTAAAGTGTTTAGCATAGTGCGTGGCACAGGGTAGGCACTATATAAATGTTAGCTATTGTTGTTGTTATTGTTATTATTACTATTATCATTCCAGCTGGATGATTATGAGCAAATCGCTTCATCTCTCTGAGCCTCAGCTTCCTGATCTGCAAAATAGTGATAATCACGCCTGTCATACTTCCCCAGTCAGTTGCTGTGAAGCTGAAATAAGATAAAATATGTAAAGAACTTTGCAAACTTTAAAGGCCTATGTAAATATCAATTATTATCTTATTCTGCCGACTGCAGTGAATCCACATTTATTCTGTGCTATTTATTCACAATACTTCTATGTTATTAGCCTTTTAACTTCAGTAAACTGTTATGCATCATTGGACATAATGAAGAAGAAAAAAGACGGGTGATTTCATCAGTGTGGGTGCTGAGTGTTGGAGACTTTCCCAAGGTCACACAATTAATAAGGGTCAGAGCCTAGGTCTCTCAACCCCAAATCCAGGTCTCTTATCCCTTCACCACACTGCCTTTCATTAATAATGGCTCAAATTTCTAGGGCTCATTAGGTTTTCAAAAGCCCTTTCTTCACAACAGCTCTCTGAGATAGAGAGCTTATGTTACTCTTCCCATTTCACAAGATGAGAAAACTGAGGCACAGAGAGATTAATTGACTTGCCCAAGGTCACATATCCAGATTTGACCTTGAGTCTTCTGGAAGAGGGGCTCTTGACTGAATAAATGTAATTATTGTTGGGGACTCAGAATTCTTAGGGGCAGAGAGGGGTCACAGTGGCAGGTGGGCCAGCCCTGGAGCCTTTGGCCACCAACAAGGACTAGCGCTACTAGCAGGCAAGCATTACTCTGCTTCAGGGTCATAACAGCTAACTAGAAAAAACCTTTAAAAAATACATATACACACACTAAAAGAGTCTAGAATTTCAACGAGAGATAAAAGAATGTCACTAGAATTGTAAATAAGAATTGTTGTGCTTCATACTGACACCACAAACTCTACTCAGGACAAGTGACACAAAATCCATTCTCAGAAAGAGGCAGGTAGAGACACAAGATCGTTATGGGGTGGGGGGTGGGGGGAGGGGGGAGGGACTGCTGGGGAAGGGCTAGAATAAGTAAGTTGGGAGGGGAGCTCACTCAAGCACAGCCCCTAGTGGCATCCTAGCCTTGATAACTAGTCCTTATCCTTGATAACTAGCTTCTAAAATCTGGGATTCATTCAGCAAGCATTTATTGAGTACCTACTATGCACCAGGTACTATGCTAAGTGTTGGGGATACAAAGATAAAAGTGAAGATTCCTTGCCCTTAAGGAATTTTCTTTTTTTTTTCTTTTTGGAAACATCTGTTGTTCCCATGTGACTAAAGGACTACAAGTGTTATCAGCTCCCTGTATATTTGGCACCTTTGTACAAAGGTTCAGTTGCCCCAGCCTAGTGGCAGCTGTCTACGTTACCGTGTTTCCTCTGATATGCTGTAACGTGAATTCTATCGGATCAGCCAGGTTCCAAAGTGATGTATTTGCAGCACTGGTGCTCACAACATAAGTGGTTAAGTTTTCATTTTGGGAAATGTGGTGCTGGAATGTAAACATAGAGAAAAGTTCAGTTCAAACTTCATAGACCAAAGAATGTAAGTGCTAAAAATATATATATATCGATAACATCTACTCCAATCCTTTCATTTTACAGATAAGCAACAGGAGCCCACAGAGGAAAGGACTTTCTGAAAGTCATCTGACTAATAAATGGCAAGAGTGAGGACTCTAATTCAGGGCTCTCCCCTCCCAATCCAATGTTCTTTGCACTGTACAACATGGGCTTGGAGAGCGGGCTCTCCCCACACAACTGCTATAAAATCCCCTGAATTTCTTCTGCTTTCCATAAACAAGCCAAAATTTAAAGGCACAAAAATAGGAGCTGGAATGTTGTACATGGAAAACAGTAATAAGGCCAGTTTGGCTGGATGTAGGAAGCATGTGATCTTTCTGAGACAATTAGAGAGCAGGGTAAAGTTTGCCAAGATGGAAGTCTTCTGTACAGTCAACCAAATGTAAACAGCCATGTGCTTGGGCTTCTTCTAAACAACTGTGGTCTTCTGGCTTCAAAATCCATCCATTAGTAAAAGAGCCTTTTCTGTTACTATCATGGAACTCTGGCCATAGATTGCTTCATGTCAGCCAAGTAATGAGGAAGTACAAATGTAAAAATCAGTCATCTTGAATCCAAATGATTAAATATTGATGTTTCTTGTTTTTAAACCATAGTAATTTCCATATACGTATACATACATACACACGTACATACACATACATATATATGTATATCATTATACATATATCACCCCCTACTGTTGTTAATCCTTCATTTTTTAAGAAGACCAATGACATCTTAGAGTGATGTCTTGACTGGAGAGTGAATTGGATTGAAATGAGGCAGAGCTACACAAAGTCGTCAGCCTCACTGTCTTTTCCTGAGTCATCGAAGCCCAGTGGCAAGACAAAAGTCAGGATGACTGGCGGTGACCCAGGTTGCAGTGGATGGCCTTGGCATCTTCCAAGTCTGACTAAGCTCTAAGCACTCCACAGCACCTGCTTTAGCTGCCTTCATGGCTGTTGGGACAAATTGTTGTCATCTCATCCCATTCTGCCAGGGAAAGTCCTCACATGCTTGGGGTGGACAGCTCCCTAACTCACCAACGGGTTTGAGGCCTGTCAGTTACCCTCAACCTGATTTAGCTTGTTTGCCTAAAGGGTTTTATCAGGGTATGGCCACTACATGCTCCAGCTTCTTGGAGCCACAGGTGAGAGTTGAGTGAAAGGTAGACACCAAAGGTGGACGAGTAGCCCAGAAAAGGGCTTGGTAAGCCCTCACAGCAGAAGGGCTAGTCCTCCTGAACACCCCATATACCTCACACACACACACACACACACACACACACACACACACACACTTCTGAAGGCCATCTTATAACAAAGAAAACCAGGTTAAACTGACAAAATGACCATCATCCTATGCAACATTTGGCACCAACACCTTTCATCATCTGATTTCCTGAAAATGACCTTGGATTCACAAGGCTTGGCCAACAGAGCAGACACTCCTGCAGGGTCTCCCATGATGGAAAGGCTTCCATCCTGAGCCCAACAACACAGCCTTGTCTCTGATGTCTAAGGACCAGCGAGGCTAAATGTTGAGTGAAGGTCTCTTCGTTGACTATTCGGCTTAATTGTGATTTCTCTAATCTGTAACCAAGGATTCCTCGCATTATAGAAATAGCATTGGTAAGCTAATTTGGGCAAAGTCCTTTTATCCTTTTAGGTGGAAAATATTAATGGCTATTACTAATTCCACAATTAATGTATGCAAAATTAGTTTGTGTCTTATCCTCTGCTACCATACAAAAGGAGTGTGTGCTATGTATGATCACTGCCCTTAAGAACTTCTAATCTAGTTGGGGAGAAAGGAGACATTAATAGCTAGAAAACAATACTCAGATATTTGTGATTCCCCCTAGAGAGGCAGGAAATGGCCTGGAGACCTGGATCCCATCAAGAAAAAACAAAACCTGACCTTTCAGAGCCAAGGTATCTGGGGCAGAGGAAACAAAACTATTGAGTTGTCACATGATATAATGGTCTAGATGAGAAATTTCAAACTGACATTTCTCCTAAGTGCCTCTGAACCAGATTAAAATGTAACTGGGAAATGTTAACAAAGTAAAAAGAAACATAATACAACATAGATAATGTTAATTTGTGGTTTTCTAAGTCAACATGCACCCACAGAGATCCGTTTCTACTTGAGTTTGGCACCACTGGACTCTAGAGAACCCTGAAGAGCCATCTAAAAATTAATTGAAAAGAGAACTTAAGCAAAATTGCAGGATGTAAAATAAGTCGACATCAGTTATCAGCATTCCTGTATATTAACAACAAATCTCAGCAGCAACAGAAAGAAAGAGAAATTCCATTCAAAGTGACTATGTACACATATGATCTATTTGGGAGGTCTACCAAAGACACACCCAGGTGCTATAAGAATACAACTATAAAATACTCTTTACAGAAATGTTTGTTGTTGTTCGCTCGTTTTTCAGTTTTGTCTGATTCTTCCTGATTCCATCTGGGGTGTTCTTAGCAAAGATACTAGAGTGGTTTGCCATTTCCTTCTCCAGTTCATTTTACAGATGAAGAAACTGAGGCAAACAGGGTGAAGTGACTTGCCCAGGGTCGAACAGCTAGTTAGTGTCTGAGGCTGGACTGAAGTTAGGAAGAGAAATCTCTTTCCTGTACTCTATCCACTGCACCACCTAGCTGCCTCTTACAGAAATAGACAGACTTAAATAATCAGAGAAATATTCATTGTTTATGAGCATAATAAAAATGGTAATACTCCCTAAATTCATTCATGTATTAAGTGTCACGCCAATCAAAATACCAAAGAATTATTTTCTAGAATTAGAAAAATAATAATGAACGTATTCATTATTATCATGAATAATAATTTATTCATTATCTAGAGGAATAAAAGGTCAAGAATCTCAAAGGAAATCATGAAAAAAGTGGGAAGGAAGAGAGCTTAGCAGTGCCAGATCGCAAACAATACTGCTAATCAGTCAGAAAAAAAACCTTGGTATTGGTTAAAGAATAGAGCAGTCAATCAGTAAAATCCGTGAATTAGGTACTCGACATAGAGATCAAAACAAACACAGTAGAGTCTGAGGCCTGCTCTCCTGATGGCTGAGTCCCTGGCTAGGACTGCCATTTCATGAGAGACCCTAGCCATGCTTGTTTCACTTCCAGATCAACTCCTTCCCCTACTCTGGGCTTTCCAGCCCCCTCCCCCCATTTATGTTTTATCTTCCTCTATTAGAATATAAACATCTTGAGAAAAAGGACCATCATGTTTTATTGGTTTTGTACCCTCAGTACTTGGCATAGTGCCTAGCACACAGTGAGCCCTTAATAAATGCTTATCTATCTATCTATGCAGCTAGATATCTAGTGAGGAAGCTAGGTGGCATAGTGGATAGAGCAGAGTCAGGAAGACCCGAGTTCAAATTCAGCCTCAGATATTTACTAACCATGTGACCCTGGGCAGTCACCTAGCCTCTGTTTGCCTCAGTTTCCTCTTCTATCAAATGGGGATAATAATAGCACTCTGTATCACTTCATACAGCTCTTCCCAGTTTTCTCTGAAATTGTCCATTTAATCATTTCTTATGGTGCAATAATATTCCATTACAGTCATATACCATAGTTTGTTTAGCCATTTCTCAATAGATGGGCATCCCTCCCTCCATCAATTGTGGAATGGCTGAACAAGTTGTGGAATGTGAATATAATGGAATACTGCTGTTCCATAAGAAATGATGAGCAGGTGTACTTCAGAAAAACCTGGAAAGACTTATATGAACTGATGCTGAATGAAGTGAGCAGAACCAGGAGAACATTGTGCACAGTAACAGCCACATTGTGCAATGACTAACTTTGATAGACTTAGCTCTTCTCAGCAATGCAAGTATCTAAGACAACTCCAAAAGACTCATGATGGAAAATGCTATCCACATCCAGAAAAAGGACTATGGAGTCTGAATGCAGAGAGAAGCATACTATTTGCTCTCTCTCTTTTTTTTGTTTGTTTCTTCTTTCTTGTGGTTTCTCCCATTTGTTCTAATTCTTCTTTACAACATGACTAATGTGAAAATAGGTTGAATATGAATGTATATGTAGAGCCTATATCAGACTACACACTGTCTTGGGGAGGGGGGAGAGAAGGAAGGGGGAGAAAATTTAGAACTCAAAATCTTATGGAAGCAAATGTTGAAAACTAAAAATAAAATTTAAAATCACTCTATTCCTATTCTCTATAGGGTGTTTTTTTAACGTAAGTGAGAATTATACTTTTTCTGTATCAGTTGACATAATCACATGCTTTTAGATGATTGTGTTCTTAGTATGATTAACTATGTTGATTATTTTCTTACTGTTGAGCAATTTTTGCATCACTGTCATAAATCCAACTTGGTCTTGATGATTTCTTAGACGAATTGCTGTAGAAAATTGTAGCATGTGGCAAGGGCCAGCTATGATTGTGCATGTATTCATTTGGGAAAATGATAAATGATGGTCAATAAATTTTATTTTTTAAAAGAAAAAAAATAGGGGGGCTAGGTGGTGCAGTGGATAGAGCACCGGCCCTGAAGTCAGGTGGACCTGAGTTCAAATCTGGCCTCAGACCAAAACACCTGACACTTACTAGCTGTGTGACCCTGGGCAAGTCACTTAACCCCAATTGCCTAAAAAAATAGATGGGTGCCCTCCCTTAGTTTCCAGTTAAAATTCCACTACAAAAAGAACTGCTTTAAATCTTTTTGTACATGTGGATCCTTTTCTTCTTTCTTTGATCTCTTTGGAGTATGGGCCTAGTATTGGTATACTGTGGGGTCAAAGCAGATGCAGTTTAGTGAGTTTGGGGGCATAGTTCCAATTTGCATGCAAGAATGGCTGGACCAATTCACAGTTCCACCAGCAGTGCATTAGTGTGCCTGTTTTCCTGCAGCCCCTCCAGCATCTGTCCTTTTTCTTTTATGTCACTTTTGTTAGTTTCACTGGTATAAGCTGGAACTTCAGAGTTGCTTTAACTTGCATTTCTCTATTTGTGATTTGGAGCTTTTTTTTTCATATAGCTGTTGATAGCTTGAATTTCATCTTCTGAAAACTACTTGTTCATATTCTTTGACCATTTATTTATTAGGGTATGGCTTCTTATAAATTGGAATCAGTTCCTTATACAGGGCACTTTTAAGCTATTAAATAACTAAGCTACTAAAGCTTAAAACTGCATTAAGACTTTCAGGGACATTCTGCAAAGATTGTTAGTTAGCTATTTTCCTTGTAATTTTAACCGCATTAGCTTTATTTGTGTGAAAAAAAATTGTAATGGACTCAAAGTACAGAAAGAGACAGACATTTTTGGACACGGCCAATGAGAGCATTGGCTTCCATTTGACTATGAATATTTTTTATCAATGGGAAGGGGAGGACTGGAGGAAGAGAAAATAAATGCTTGTTAATTGAAAAAAATGAAATGAAATTTTAAAAAGGATAGCCATCGAAATATACTTCCTTCCTTTTGGTAGAGAGGTGGGGTAGTACAGGTGCAAAATGTAGCATACAGTGTCAGATATAGTTTGTAAATCACTTTTGCTTTAACTGTTTTGTGTGTGTGTATGCATGTGCATGTTATAAATGGGGTTTAATGATGTTTGGGGGGGGATATATTGGGAAATGATTGCAATACAAAAAATAAAAGGCCTCCATATGAATAAACCATCTCTAGTCTGACAGATTTCACATTAGGTTCCCTCACACACTATCTAGTTCTGCCATACACAGCATTCCATCCCGTTTCTGGGCCTGGAATGTTTTCCCTTCTCTCTCCTTGGAAACTCTAGACTATCTTCAAATCAGCTCAGGTGCCACTGCTTCCATGAAGCCTTTCCTAATCCCTTTGATGGGGACCCCTGAAATTACTTTGCATTTCCTTTGTGTATTATTTGTATTTGCTTATTTGTGTACATATTATTTTCCATGGCAGATTGTAAGCTCTTTGAGAGCAAAGATTATTTTTCTTTCTATATTTGTCTCCCCAGTACCTAGAATAGGGCCTGACACATAGTAGGTGCTTAACAAATGCTTGTCTTTTTGAATAAAACTTGGCAGATTCTTCAAACAGGAAATGTTTGTTCATGTGGTGGGCCAGGGGTGCATTCAGATAATCGTGGAGCAAATTAAAGTGAAAAATATTACTATGCTAACAACACAAAATGGTAGGGATTGTGGACTATCTTGATCCCATCTCTAAATGCAAGGCTGTACCTCAAAGATTGACGTTTGCCCAAAGAAGCTAAACACGATCTTCTGTAGGTCGAAAGGAATTCTCTTCTTCAGTGATTTAGGCAAATACATGGAAGCCAAAGTCGTCCTCTGAGGTGCTGTGTCTAGATAAACCTGTGGAGAGAGACCCTAAAATGAGGAAAGGTGTGAAAAAGCTCTGCCCAATGAGCAGGGCCCCCAAGTCCAGCATGGCTGCTAGCATCCCAGGTGACCTCTAGAAGACCGAAAGCCTTCATGTTTCAAAGAAAGGGAGTTATTTGCTTCCTAAAACATGCCACATACATCACATATACCACAGGAATAATTACATGATCCCTTGGAACACTATTGAAGAAAGGACATCTTTCTCCATCCCCATGTAGTCTTCTCCTTCCCCGAGCCTGTCACCCAGTGTCTCTGGGTTACACTCACCTCAGGGTCCATGCCTTCCTTATAGTAGTGAATACTAAAGGAAACGCCTTCAAATTCCTCCTCCACCTGAAGCACAGCTAGAGCCAATGAGGCCACAGTTACATTGGCGGTCTTCCCAGAAAACTTCATCTTGTAACCTACCTGCTCAATTGTCCTCAAGATCCTTTCAAGGACAAAAAAGAATTTGTTAAAAACCACACCATTAGGGTTATTTAATAATTAGCATTTGTAAAGCACTTTTAAGGTTTGCAAAGTGTGTTACACGTATCATTTCATTTGATCCTCACGACAACCTTGTGAAGGAGGTGCTATTATTTACATTTTATAGATGAGGAAACTGAGGCCAAGAGAAGCTAAGTAACTTGCCCAGAGTATACCACTGGTTTAGTATCTGAGGCAGGATCTGAACTCAGGTCTTCCTTACTTCATCTCCAACACTATCCATTATGCCACTTAGCTGCAGTCATTAGCTAAAATGGTTCATTAAGCAAGATTTCTTATATCGGAAGATAAGAAGATAGGGCCTTGGCAGGTTCAGCTAACATTGAAAAGCTTCACATACAGTCCTGGTAATGGACCATCCATCTGGCATCTGAAGACCAGTCTAGGCCCATCATACAAGGACCAGCCTAGCTAAATTTAAGGAGGCTCATCTCCAAGGACCGGCCAACAGGGGATGCATTTTTTCCCACCACAATAACTCATGAATACCAGAGGGCTTGTGGTATTGGTCTGGTGTTGGAGTGTTGAATTATAAATAACTCTGCTGAGGGTTGGGGGGAGGTGAGAGGGGTGTCCATGAATATGGAACATTGCATATATTGTAAGATGTTTTTTGATGTAGTGATTAGTTTTGCTGATTTTTTTCCCCTCTTCCTCTCTTTCTTTTTAAAAATGTCTTTGTATTATGGAAGGACTCTCTGGGAGGGTAGGGAAGGGATACAAGGGGAAATTTGGGCTATGCAAAAACAAAAGGCATTGATAAATTCCCCCTACAGCCAATCTGGTGATGGGTTTTTATGAACTTAGCTAAGCTGCTGTTAGCTAGGCTTGTGTTAGAGTGATATAGAAATGTCGGTTACTATTACTACTACTAACATAACAATAGTGATAATACTGTTAAGTAGCATTTATATAGCACTTTCAGGTTTACAAAGAGCTTTGCAAATATTGTCTCACTTGATCCTCACAACAACCCTGGGAGGTGCATGCTATTATTATCTCCATTTTACAGATGAGGAAACTGAGGCAGACAGAGTTTTAAGTGACTCGCCCAGGGTCACACAGCTAGGAAGTGTCTGAGGTCAGATTTGAACTTCGTCCTCCTGGCACTCTATTTGTGATAAATATTAATAAAAAATTAGGCCAAGTATAGTGGAGTCAGAAGAACTGGGTCTGACTTCTGATTCTGCCGCTTAGTAGCAGTATGACTTTGATCAATTTTTTTTTAAACCTCTCAACTTCAGTTTCTCCATCTACTACTAGAGAATAACAATGACTTCTGTTATCATCATCATTGTCAAATCCAAATGCCTTTGTTTGTCATTCAAGGCCTTCCATAATTGCCCAACCCTCACCTGCTCCCCTGCTGCTCATGCACGTGAACCTTCTCTTCTAGGACTCCTCACTGTCTCTGGTACACACCAAACTCATTCCCACCTCCATGCATTTGTTCATGGCATTGCCCCCTCTTCTGGAATGGTCTTACTTCTTCCCTTTCCTTTATGACCTCTACCTATCTCTTAGGGTTGAGCTTAAGGTCCACCTCCTCCAGGAAGTCATCCCTGACTACTTGCATCTGCATGGATTTTTCCCTTCCTGTAGTCAGTGGCACATTTTGTAATAATGTTGACGGAGGGCACTTTATTTTATCCGAAGCACAACCCTGGGACAGAAGGAGGGAAGCCACTGCCAGTATATCACCTTCCGTTAAGACCTGAGGCTCTGAAAAGTTTAATAACTTTTCCATAGTGAGTGATGCAGCTAATCAGTGTCTGGAATTTGAGTAAGTTAAGTAAGTGTCCAGCTCTCACTCCTCCAAAGCTGTGTCTGTTCCATTTCCCACAGAATCTAAACTCAGTTCACCAGATCATATCCCTAAAGAGCCACTCATCATTCTCTCCTTGAAAATTGCTTGAGGTCAGGGGCCATATGCTATCATTCATTTGCATCTTTCATAGGCCCCAACGCAACACCGGAAACGTAATAGGCAGTTGATTGGTTGACTCGTCTTGCCAAATACTGAGATTGGGGCCATAAGGTGGATTTAGATGATGAAATAATAACCACTTCACAAAAGTAGCCATTGCTTTGTGATTTAAAGTCATAGAATCAGAATTTCAGAGATGGAAGAAATTTCATCGGCCACCTAGTCCAAACCATTCCCCAAAAGGCATGTCATACCCACCAAGTCGTCATCTGGCCCTTATTTGGCTCTGTCTTGAGCCCCCTTTCCGTGGCTCAGATAAGCTGGTCTGGGCCAAGGTCAGTTGGTTACTACATGCTTACTATGTGCCTAGCATTGGGCTAAGCACCAAGGAGCCAAAGAAATCTAAAAACAATCCCTGGCCTTAAGGAATTTAGGTTCTAATGGATATCTATGACCCTGAGCAATCGTGTGGCCTCTCCAGGCCCCCGTTTTTTCCTCTTGACCTCTCTGTTGGGATAGAAGGGGTCTCCGAGGTAATTTGGCCCAACCCCATCTCTTGGAAAAAGACGAAAAATGAGGCCCAGAGAAGCTTGTCACTTCGTACTTACTCATTGCTTAGCAAGGACTGATCAGGCAGCAATCCAATCCCCAAAACCACATCAAGTATCTGTAACAGAATCTGTGCTAGATTCAGACTTAATTCATCACATTTTGAGATGTCAGACACCTTCAAAACAATAATCTTGATTTCTTTTTGGTTCAGGCCTGGGGAGTCATGTATCAGACTTAAAATGTGCTCAGCAACATCATTGGCATTCTCTACAAGAGATTGGAGACAATGATGGCGAAGCTATGTTAGAGTGGGGATTTTTAAGTCCTTCCATCTAATGTTTTCTCACTAACTTAAAAAAAAAGTTTATCTTATGTTTATGGATAACTTTTTTAGACATCACATTCATGTCCAGATAAATCTGTTCATCTCCAGTGAGCCATCCCTTGTAACCAAGAATTGAAAAGAAGTTCAGCAAAACTAACTAACACATTGTCTGGCAGTACATGCGCCATTCCTCACCCATAGTCCCCCACTTCTTTAAGGAAGGGAGGGAGGTGCCTTATCTTCACTCTTCTTCATCTCCATTTAATTTGGACAAATAAAGAAACATTGAGCCAGGTTGAACCAAATGAAAGTATGAGGGACCTTGATTTCTACCTTCCTGATAAAGTTGTGGTTAAATCACGTCTGGCCTATCCAGGTCCCAAGGAGCATCTCGAATCCTGCAGCAAACCTTTTTGGAAAGGGAAAGATTCTTGAGTGATGCAAATAATCTACACCCCAAAGTAGTCCTTCTTGTAAGTATGGGGTTGTGTATAGAACCAGCCTGGGTTCAAATCTCACTAATAATTCATTTTCATGTAGTCATTTTAAACTTTGCATAGTCATTTATAACATTTCATAAACTCATTTCAATCACATAGTTGTTTACGCATGTGCTAAAATCATCCCCATTTTACAAATGAGGAAACTGAGACTCAGAGCGGTCTAGATATTTGGGGTCACTCAACTAGTAACTGACAGAAGTGGGAGCTGCAATCTGATCTTGGGTCTAGGTTTCCATGGCTTCTAGTAGGGACTTTTTTTTTTTATCGAAAGACTCCAGCCCACAGGAGAAAAAGCATCAGGGGCTAAGTCAGTGACCTGTGTGGCAATTTCCTCCAGCGACACAGATTACAACTACTCTATAACATATTCTTAAAGTGTCTCCTGAGGCTCAGAGAGGTTAAGTGATTTGCCTGGAGCCACATAACCAGAAGAAGGTCCAGACCTTCCCAGCTCCCTATCCAGGGCTCTATCTACCATGCTAGGCTGTCTGCCTATAGTGATGGAGAAAGCAACTTCCCTTAGAATTGTTTTGACGACAAAAAAAAAATAAAATAGGTCCTGATCGTCTTAAGATGTGGTTTCTATGGCAACCAAATTCCTTGTACATTCTTCTTCAGCGGAGAAATTAACCATTGCTCAATACACACAATGACCATAATAATGTAAAGGAAAATGTTACTAAAATGCATCAGAACTTGCACCAGTGAGTCGACCCATCTTGACTCCAGAAGTCTGATGACGAGGGATCTCCCTCCTCTTTGCAGAGAGGTGGTCGAGTGGCAGGTGCAGAGTGAGAGATGCAAGGTCAGACATGGTCAATTTTTGTTTATTTTCTCAAACTCTATGACCATATTGCAAGAGAAGATTCCATGGGAGTACTGGGGGAAATAACAATAATTTTAAAAATCGATAAAATATTTTTAAAAATTCACTGCTCCTTGGCCAATATTTTTAACTTTTTCAGGGCAAGGGCCTTAAGAATTCTATGCCTAGATTTTCTTTCAAATCATTGTAAACAGGTGTGACTGTTATGCATAGATCGAAGCTGGGGAAGTTACGTCGAAATTGAATTTTTATAACTTGAATAACATTTCAAACATACTCAGAGTGTTAGCTACCTAAAGGGATCTTGCAATTATTCCTTTTGTAAGAGTGAATAATGACTCTCCTCCTCACCCCCATCCCTCACATTTTATCTGCTTTATAAGAGCCGATTATTTAATCGTGTTTTCTAAAAGTGCGGCTGGCTCGCCTACACTGTCTGGTTCCACGTCAAGTTGGTAATCTGGCCCCAGTCTTGGAATATGTGTCTAATCAACTCTCACCATCAGTTATGAGAACATCTTCAAGGTCGACAATCTTATCTGGAAGTGCCTGGAGCAGTTTACATGGTGTATAGTGGGGGGCTCCCCAGCTTGATTTGCCATTCTCAGCATCAATAATGCTGAAAAATAAGGAGAGGGTGAGGTTATTTTCATTCTCTTGCTGTCCTTTCTTGAGGAGTCTTGACAATTCTGGCCTCCACATAGATGGCAAGCTCAGGGGCTCTCTGCAATTTTTGATTCTAAGAGCCACTTCTTCTTTCTGGGCCCTCTCACCTCTCTTAGCTTCTGTGACTCTGCTCTCTCCTGGCTCTCCTCCTACTATCCAAATGCTCTTTCTCAGTTTCTTTTGTTGGCTTATCAGCCATTTCCAACCCTGGAATCTGCCCTGGCCCTCTTCTTTCCTCTCTCAATATTCTCTCTTTGTGATCTCGTACACTTTTAGGCATTCAGTTTGAGACATGGTATTTGAGATGACTCCAGAATCTATCTCTTTGCTGAACTCCAATCATACATATATCACCCACGGAAGGTTAGAGAGCTCCTGCTGGATAGCCAATAGGTATCTCAAGGTCTAGGTTGAGGACAAAATACATGACCGCATCCAGCCCTCCCCCCTCCCCACTCTGTGAATACCTAGGAATTCAACACATACAAAATAGAAGTAAGGAGAAAAACAAAAGTTTGGAACATGGATCATGGAGAGTGATGAGTCAATCATAGATGAATAAAGCATTGTACATCCTATGATTCATAGAAGCTTAGACAACAGAGCTGAAAGAAAAATTTCACAGATCACTCTCCCATTTTTAGATATAAGGAAAATGAGGCTCCTGTGGGTAAAGTGAATTACCCAAGATTGCCTGGCTAGTTAGTATCAAAGCTGGGATTTAAAACTAGGCCCTTTGAAACTAAATGCAGGGTTCTTTCCATGATATCATACTACAGAACAAAGATCATCAGCAAAGGACTATTTCTTCTTCTTCTTCCCACCATAATAATAATGATAATCATGATGACTATAATAATAATAGCATTTATATAGTCCTTCAAGGTTTGCAAAGTGCTTTAAAAATATTATCTTATTTTATTCTCACAACAACTGTGGGAAGTAGGTGCTATTGTTACCCCCATTTTACAGATGGGGAAACTGAGGCAGACAGAGGTTAAATGACTTTTCCAGGGTCACACAGCTAGTAAGTGTCTGAGGCCAGATTTGAGCTCGGGTCTTCCTGACTCTAGGCCTAATGCCCTAGCCATTTCACAGCTTAGCTGTCCAATATGGGGAAACAGAACTTTTTGTTATCCTTAGCTTTCACCATCAACCTCAGGGTATAGCTGACACTATGCTTACAACTCTTTCGACATTGTTCTGTGCTACTCCTTTGTGTTTATCCTCAGTTCCTGCTCCTTGCTTCCATCTTCATGAAACTATGAATCTCTATAATGTGCATCTTGTTTTTCCTTTAAAGGAAAAACATGTAACCTTCAAAAGCTGTCATGCTTGTCTATGATTCATTCCTTCTAGACTTCCTTCTCTTCTCTCCTATACATTCTTAAAAATGCTTCAATGATCTTCTTTTCTTTTTGTTTCTGTCTCTCTTTTGGCAACTTTATCATTAGCCCCACTACCTTTTGGGGGGAAAAACCCTTTGTTTCCCCATTTGAAAAATGATGAAAAGATATGAACAGGCAATAGTCAAAGGGAAAAAAAAATCTAAGCCATCAATAGCCTTATTTAAAAATGCTCCAAATTACTAATAATCAGAGAAATGCACATTAAAACAACTGTGAGGTTGCTGAGGTTTAATCACCCATCCAATTGGCAAAGTTGACAAAAAGGAAAAGAGACAGATGTGGAAGGAGCTGCAGGAAAACAGGAAGTTAATGCACCGTTGGAACTATATGGTCCAACTATTATGGAAAGCAATTTGGAACTCTGCCCCCAAATCACTAACCTCTTTGACTCTGCTGTAGACCTCTACTAGAACTATACTCTCAAAGAGATGACAGAAAGAGGAAGAATGACCTATATGAACAACAATATTTATAGCAGCTCTTTTTGTAGTGACAAAGAATGGAAACTGAGGGAATACCCATCAGTTGGGGAATGCCCAAACAAACGTTGGGTATATGAATGGAATTGAATGCTATTGTACCATAAGAAACGATGAAAGGAATGGTTTCAGAGAAACCTGGGAAGACTAATACGAACTGATGCAAAGTGAAGTGAGCAGAACCAGGAGAACAATTTATACAATAGCATTATAAAGACAAACAACTTGGATCAATACAAAGATCAAACAAGGTTCCAGAGGACCAATAACAACTTCCTGGAAGAGAGGGGATAGACTTAAGATATAGAATGAACTATGCATTTTTGGACATAGCCAATGCAGAAATTTGTTTTCCTTGACTATGCATATTTGTTACAAGAGTTTTTTCTTTTTTTCATGGGGAGTGGGGTGGATTGGAAGAAGAAAAATTGAAAAAAAAAAAGTCACATGTAATAAAAGTTACATTTTACAAAGCCCTTATAACAAATATAGTCAGGCAAAATAAATTCCCACATTGGCTGTGTCTGAAGTATATGTTGTTTAGTCATGTGTGACTCTTCATCCATGGGGTTTTCTTGGCAAAGATACTGGAGTGGTTTGCCATTTCCTTCTGCAGTGGATTAAGGCAAACAGAGGTTAAGGGACTTGCCCAGGGTCACACAGCTAGTAAGTGTCTGAGGTCATATATGAACTCAGGTCTTCCTGACTCCAGGCCCAGTGCTCTACCCACTGAACAATCTAGCTGCCTTGTTACGGTCTAAGTTGACCAATGAAAGTTCTTTATGCATTCAAATTAATTCCTTAGACAGTTCTTCCTCTTCCTCATCGCAATGGTTTGTTTTAATGTTTGTATTAACTGAATGTTATCCTTCAGAGATCTCACCTATCCTTTCTCTGAATGCTTTGAAATCTACTCTCTCCAAATTGAGGGCATTATGCCCAGCTTGCTTCTATTGCCCTATCATGAACATTCTTCCCCTAGCTAGTATGGAATGCCCTCTCTTCTGGTGGCACCTGTTGGTCCACAATCCTCGGGACCTCCCCATCAGAGGGTCCAGGTATCCATCCTTCACACTTCTTGTATAGCCCTAAGTGTTGGGCAGTCCGTCTTCTTCCCTTCTCTCTTTGAGTCACATCCCTCCTATGCAGGCTAGAATTCATATCCCTTCTGATTCATTTTCTCCTTTGTTCCTCCCCTGAAGCAGTTTTTCCAAGAAATCACTCATTTTTCCTGGTAATCTGGAGAGCAGAGAGACATTACTGTAGCCCTTTCATCTTCTCCCCTAAAAGGGAGAGCAAAGTGCACTTAGTACACCCAACTGTTAGTCACCACCGACGGGAATAGAAGCAGTGAGCTCTTTGCGAGGCACTAGGCCATTTCCCTTACTCTCTTGTACTTGCTAGAAATGAGATCCTCACTTCTCCGCTCTTCGAACTGGAAGTTCCTGTGGCTAATTACCAATGCCAACTCTCTGCTTCCCGTGTTGGGGGCTCAGTCACTGGGGGCTTCAGAGCAATCCTTGAAGGCACTCAATGGAAAGAAAGCCATACTTGTAGTCACAGGACCTGTGTGACCTTGGGCAAATCTTTTTTGCCTCTGTTGGCCTCAGTTCCTTCATCTGTCAAATGAGGAAATGGAACTCATTCTTGTTGAGTCATTTCAGTTGTGTCTGGCTCTCTGTGACCCCATCTGGGGTTTTTTTTGGCAAAGATACTAGAGTGGTTTTCCATTTCCTTCTCTAGCTCATTTGACAGATGAAGAAACTGAGGCAGCCAGGGTGAAGTGACTTACCCAGGGTCACACAGCTAGTCAGTGTCTGAGGCCAGATTTGAATTCAGAAAGATGAGTCTTCCTGACTCCAGGCCTGGCGCTCTATCTATTGCAGCGCCACCTAGCTGCCCTAGAAATTGAACTAGATGGCCTCTAACTTCCCTTCCATCTCTCTGGTTCTATGACATACTGTACTTTCCTACCTTTAAAGGGGCTTTTCCCACCTGTTTTTTTTTAAATAATAATAGGTGGGCCAGCTAGATGGCGCAGTAGATGGAGCTCCAGTCTTGGTGTCAGGATGACCTGAATTCAAATCTGGCCTCAGACACTTGACACTTACTAGCTGTGTGACCCTGGGCAAGTCACTTCACTCCATTGCCTAGCCAAAAAAATAATAATAACAGCTAACATTTATAAAGCACTTACTATGTACCAGGTGCTTTACAATCATTATCTCACTTGATTCTCACAACAGCTCTGTTATTAGGTGCTATTATTGTCCTCATTTTTCAGATGAAGAAACTGAGGCAGACAGAGTGACTTGCCCAGGGTCACAGAAACAATAAGTGTCTGAGGCCAGATTTGGATTTAGGTATTCTTGACTCCAGGCCCAACTCTCTATCCACGCCACCTCTGGCTATTTAAATATGCCTCTATGTGCCTAGCTTTCTCAGCAAATTACTGTAAAATTCTTAATGTAAATGGCAGCTGCCCTTGGCTGTGGTCTGTGAAAAGATCTTGGCTAGAAATCATACTGCCAGCCACGTTGGCACTTCTTTCTTTCTCTTCTCACCTTGTTAATCAGATTTTAAATAGCTCATATTTCTATATTGCCTCTTCATTTAGGGCCTACTTTCTGTTCCACTGCACTGCTCAGAGCTCACCTGGATTCTTGCAGTTAGTTCTGGGTACCACATTTTAGGAAGGATGTTGACAAGTAGGGAGTTTTCAGAAGAGGGCATCCAAGATAGTGAGAAGAGTTGAAATCCCACTGTATTAGGAGCACTTGAAAATACTTAAGCTGCTTAGACTGGAGGAGAGAAGACTTGGTGGGGACATGCTACTTATTCTCAAATATTTAAATATAGAAGAAGAATAAGATTTGGTTTGCTTGGCTTCAGACGACAGAGTTAGGAGCACTGGGTAGAAGCTTCTGAGAGGCAGATTTCAGCTTAGCATAGAGAAAAAATTTCCTAACAATTAAAGATATACCAAAGTAGAATAGATGCTTTAGGAGGTAATGAGCTTCCCATCACTGGAGGTCTTCAAGAAGAGGCAATTAACCTGAGACAAATGAAAACCCTGAGAGACAGAGTTTCTCAGTAAGACTAACAGGGCAGTCCTCCTGGCTCAGAGTGAATGTAAATAATAACTGTTTCTTTTTTGGCCAGCAACCCCGAGGGTCTTCCCCTCCCAGTTTTTTTTTTTTTTAAATTAAAGGGGCCATCCCTTGACTCACTTCTTAAAAAAGCCTATTCACTGAATGGGTGTTGCCTCACTCAAAGTGAGAACCTGAAAAGACCTTAGCTTAAAAGGGCCAAGGTCTCCCATTGCATCATGAGCCATCTCTAGTCATCCTGATGAATATCTGCCCACTGGACCCAGATGGCTCTGGAGGAGAAAATGAGGCTGGTGACCTTGCACAGCCCTCCCTCACTCGTATCAAAGTCAATTGCAAGTCATGTCATCGTCAAACTGATGTCATGGTCCTCTTCGAGAATGAAGGACAAATCACCACCACCACAACAACGACAAAGCGGGGCAGTCAACAAATTTGATGGTCAGTGGTTTCTCTCAGTAACCAAAGACACCAAAGGAGACCCTGAAATGTCTTAAATCCCTTCTGAAAGAGAACTCCCCTGACAAGTGAAGATCAATCCTGATTGATGGACATTTAATAAGGAGCTAGACTAAAAGTCTTCAGCTTTTAGCTGAAGCACGATCATGGCTTGATCATGACACTTAGCAGCCTCGAGGCATCTGAGCAGGAGAAGCCATCTCCATTTGTACCTTTCTAGCTAGTTTTCTCCTTCCGGAGCTGGGCTTCCCTGAACTCCACTGGAGGGGACCAAGGACAGGGGGCTCCTCCTCCAGGCAAAGGCTTACCCAAACCGGATTCTCTTTATACTCTAAACAGAAATTAGGTCTCTCAGTTGGGTGAGGTCCCCCAACTAACAAGCATCTGCCTTGAGGACTAGAAGCAAACTTCACTCAGCCATGCCCTTCAGAGGCTGACTGACCTTTTCAGGAGATGAGTTTTAACAGCAATAAGAGGAAAAAGGGTGGCTCACAAATCTAGTTATTAGTTATTAATATAATAGTATAATATTAATTTCTCTCAAATCACTAATCAGGGAAAGAGATTCTAAAGGGGATTCCTACTCAGAGAAGGGTTGGACTGGATGACCTTTGGAGATAACCTCCAATTCTAAAACTGATAATCCTATCACTACTGAGGCCCCTTCCAGCTCTAAGATTGGGAAAGTCTACATCCCCCCCCCACAGTACCATTTGCCAACTTCAAACCCTACCCAAATGAGAAATCAGATTAGTTTTAATGTCTGATGTTTGGTTTCTAATTTTTTTTTGTGAGAAGCATGTTCTTTCAAAAACAACAAAGTTAGCAACAGCAAGGAGTGACGTCCAGAGGTGGCAGAAGGGAGACTGGCATGGGATGGGTGAAAGGCAGCTAGTATAATTGGTTATATGAAATAAATCAGCACATGTCAATTTGTAGCTAATAGAAATCGATTCTGTACTTACCAAATTCTGGTAGCTTTCTGACTAGGATTCTTAACACATGGGCTTTGAGCTGTCTCTGTAGGATTGGTTAATGGCCACTTATATGTTCCTTTGTATCTGGAAGTGGTTTCTTCCTCCATGCACTTTCCTGGCTCTAAAGAGAGGATACATAGAGGTCAGTTGTCACCATGTCTGTTGGACAAGAGCCCCAGGAAACTGATGATCCCCAAGGTCCTACTTAGTTCTAGCATTCTTTGTCCCTAAATAAAAATCAAGGCTTGTTTCCAAGGTCATTTTGACCAATCTCACTTGGTCATTTAAAATAAGTCTCACTTTAAACACCTCAAAAAGCAACTGGTGCAGCCGAGAAAACATGAGGTTTAAGGTCAGAGGACCCAGGTTCAAAGCCTAGCTCTGCCTTTGCTACCTGTATGAACTTGGTCAAGTTACTTCATTTCTCTGGGGCTCAGTTTCCTCATGTGTAAAATGAGGGGTTTCAACTAGATGACCTCTGAGTCCTTTGAAGCTCTGAATCTATGTTCCTATGAGCCAGACAGCTATTTAAAAGGAAGATTCCAGCAGATTTGCCCCTTGGGGTCACTCTATCCTTACTAATGGATAGCTGAGACTTTTTTTTTCTTTTTCCTATGTTAATACTCTACATACTTGACCAATGAATGCAGTGGAAGCCTAGATATTGGTACTGAAGGATAGGACAACCATGTGACTGGCTAATGGTATTATAGTAGGATTGTATAATATAGATCATAGATTAAGAGGTGGAAAGAGTCTTAGAAGCCATTGTATCCAATCCCATCATTTTACAGATGAGGAAACTGAGGCAAACAGGGTGAAGTGATTTGCCTAGGGCCATACAGTTAGTAAGTGGTTGAGGCCAGATTTGAACTCATGAAGACAAGTCTTCCGAACTCCAGGCCCAGCACTCTATCCACCTAACTGCCCCCAAAATATTTATAGCAACACTTTTTGTGACTACATAGAATTGGAAACAATGTAAATGCCCATCAATTGGGGAACAGCTAAACAAATTGTGGAACAATATTCCTGTGCTATAATAGATGATGAATGTGATGAATACAGAAAAGTATGGAAAGGTTTACATGAACTGATGCAGAGTGAAGAGTGGAGCCAAGAAAACAACCTACACAATGATTACAACAATGTAAACTGAAAGATTAATCATTTTTTTAAAATCGACAATAAATGTTGAAAAATAATAAAGAACAAGAATGGCTGAAAGAAAAAAAAGAGATAAGACAGTCCCGTCCCACTCCCTTGGAGAAGTAGGAGGCACACAAGTGTTGTACATTGCACATATTTTCAGATCTTTTTGACTTATTGATTATTTATACTGATTTTTTTTCCTCACTTTTTCTTCTTTTTTCTTATCTTTAAAAAAACCCCACTATTTGTTGGCTCTCTAGGAAAAGGAAGGGGAGGAATACTGGAGGAAATCATGATGAAGTTAAAAAAAGACACCAATAAAAACTTATTTTAAAAAGAAAAAAATAGATTGAGATAATCTTTGACACTTGATTGGCTCAGGCTGATGCCATCACTTCCTGGTATCCTGAAAACAAAGCAGCCAGAGGAGGGCCAGTGGGAAACTCAGTCAAAGGAGCTTGATTCTATGGAATCAGCTCAGAATGCCCCACTCCGACTAAGCACATTTCTTTTTGTTAACTGTTGAATGACCTACAAGTATCTCATTTTGTTTCAAAGTCAGACCTAAACTACCAGGGGAACTGGCTATAACACTGGAGTTGCTATTAACACTCGAGCTGGACTCAGAGGATCTGGGTTCAAAACCAGGGTCTACTACTAGCTATGTGACCTTGAGTCGCTTCCCCACCCTGGGCCTCAGTCTCCTCTTCTGCAAAATGAGGAGGTGAGACCAGATGACCTTAGAGGTCCCTTCTAGTTGGAAATACGTGATTATTTCAAATGTTTATTAAACACTATATTCCTGTGTGGTGCCATGCTAGGTGGTCTTCTTTGCCTCTCCCTCTTTCTGCCTCACTTTCCATTTTTGCCTTTGTGCCTGCCCTCTTCATTAGTCTTTTATTGTGCAGAATTATGCTTTCTAAAGCAATGTATGCCACAGTGGACTGTGGTGGAAAGAATTCTCAACTAGAAACCAGAAAGATTGGGGGCAGCTAGGTGGTGCAATGGATAGAACTCTGGCCTTAGAGTCAGGAGAACCTGAGTTCAAATCTGACCTCAGACACTAGCTGTGTGACCCTGGGCAAGTCACTTAACCCCAATTGCCTCACTAAAAAAGAAAGAAAGAAAGAAAGAAACCAGAAAGATCTAGGACCAAGTCCTGATGCTGACACTATGACCCCGGGCAAGTTCCTTACCCTCTTTGAACCTCAGTTTCCTCATTTCTAAAATAAAGATGATAATCCTTGCTCCCACCTACCTGACAAGGTAGAGGTTTTTTAGGGTCTGGTCAGATTCTGGATGTAGATGTTTTCTGTAAACTATAAAGCACTGTTAAAAATATCTGGGGTCACGAGCAGCTTTACTGGGAATTCTGTTCCCAGCAATATGTCTACTGTGAAGAATGAGGAGGCAGGGTAGGAGATGTGCAGCGGTCAGGCAACTTTGATTTTTATTGCCAAAATCTCGGCAACATAAAGGAACAAGCATTTGAGGCGCCCCCATAACATGACCCAGATTGTCTCTGGACAGTTGGATTGTCTGCCCAAGTTTAGTCAATAAGTCAACACATACTTATTGAGCGTGTAGGAAGGCAGAGGTCAGACTGTGCCCAAGGCCCTTTACAATCTGATTCCAGCTCACCTTTCCAGGCCGATTTCACATTACTCTCCTTTATTCACATCATTAGAGTCCAGCCAGACTGCTCTGCTTGATATGCTCCATACACGACATCTCATCTCCTCCCTCTGGGCCTTTGCCCAGGCTGTCCCAAATGCCTAGTATGCATTTCCTTTTCATTTCAGGTTCCTAAAATCCTTGGCTCTTTTCTAGGCTCAGCTCAAGCCACTCCTACTAGAGGAAGCCTTTTTTGGTCTTTGTATTCCCCAGGACCTAGCATGAAGTCATTCTTGGTGCTAGACACTTTAGAAACGCTTATTGAATTGAATTGAGTATCTGGCCAAGGACTTCTAGACCTGTCTACTTAGTGAATTAATCTTTGAGGGGGAGAGGGTAGTGCCCAGACTCTACTCTCCAGAGCTCAGGAGCTTCCCAAACCAAAGGTTTCTACCTAGCCCTTCTTGAATACAAAACAAACAACTCCCTCTGCCCACAGCCTCAGATCAATTGCTTGAGACAAGATGGTGTCAAAGGAACTTTTTACTAATAATCTCAGCTCTTACAGGTTCCCCACCCCTGGCTAGAGCTTTAAGCTTTCCAGAATACTTTCCCTACAATAGTCCTTTGTGATAGGCAGTAATGAGTATAATACTTATATGATAATTATCCCCATTTTATAGATGAGAAAATTGAGGCTTAGAAAGATTAAGTAATCTACCTGATGTCACTTAGAGTTCACTACCTCAATGACTCTGGGATTTCACCAATTTGGCTATTCTATCCATCCATGCAAATGGCAACCCATCTATCCCTCCTCATCCTATGCGATTCTAGTCTGTGTTTTCTTAGAGCTCCTCTTCCAAGGAGCAAAACAATCTCCTGGAGGTCTTTCTATGGGTCCTTTTACATTTAAGGGCACTAGTGCAGCACCCTGACTGTGCATTTGTTATTATTCTGGTCTCTTGCTATAGGACTAACCAACCCCCTTTGCTGAACAAGCATGTCCTGGGTAAGGAAAGCTCACGTGGCTCACCTAGTAAATGCCAGACCCAAGATTCCAACCTAGGTTTGTGTTTCCACTACATCCCTTTTCCTCTCTGTCACAGGCACTGGTAAAACCAGAAACAAAAAGCAAAGCAACTGATATGCCAAAGATGTTCAGAGAAATTGTCTCAGAACCTTCTTGCCTCAGTTTACTCTTCTGTAAAACAGAAGGTGGTGAGGTTGGATTAGACTTCTCTCTGGTTCCTTCCAGTTCTAAATCCTATGATCCATTATAGGCCTGTCCCCAGCAGTCTCCCCCTTACATTTCTACTTCTTCTTTTCTTTGGCCACGGTTCCTAAGAGCTTCGTCTTCCCCCTCAGACTGATGGCTCCCCGGCTTTCAGCTGCCTTCTCACTTTCAGCCACACAGCAGGGTGCTGAGGTCTGATTTCTTACAGAGGTTTTCACAAGCTCAAGGGAACTTCAGAGACCACCTGGTTCAACCCCTTTATGTGACAGAGGAGAAAACTGATCCCACTGTACCCTGCCCTGGTTAGAGCACACCCAGAGTATTGTACTCAGTCCTAGCAGAAGCTTGCTAAGCCAGTGAACACCCAGAGGTAAGCAAACACGGTGGGGAAGGCCTCGAGGGAGGTCCATGCCATATGAGAATCAGGAAAAGGAAATGGGAGTGTTTAGGCTGATGAACAGAAGAATGGGGGGAGAGACATGAAAGCTATCTTCAAGTACTTGAAAGGCTGCCCTGTGGAAGAGGAATCTGACTTGGTTTGCCTGACCTCCAAGGTCAGAACCAGGAGCAATGAGATGGGAGTGGGGGTGGGGAATACAAAAAGGCAAACTTAGGCTGGATGTCAAGAAAACCGTTTTTTTTTAAAAAATCAAGCATTTATTAAGCGCTTACCACAAACACAAGTAAAAAGACAGCTCCTGCCCTCAAGGAGCTTAAATTCTAGCACCGGAAGACAGGGAAGTAAAAAAGGCAGGGGGAGAAGAAAGAAGGTATCTAAGCTGGGCCATGAGGGATAAGTCTGGAGAGTTAGAAGCACAGCTGGAAGAGGAATGAAGCGTGGCCAACCTAAGCCTGCCCCCAGAAGGAACTCCCCAAAGGGAGAAGGGGACCAGCATAGCGGCGGGATGTGCCAGGGTGAAAAGGTCCCAGGCACGGAAGAAAGTTCTGTGAAGAGATAGTGAAACGAACTGTGTTGGGAGGTAGCGGGCTCCCCACTGGTGACAGTGAGGTCTTTAAGTGGAGGCTGAATGGCCACTTGTTGGCTACGTTGTAGAAGGAATTCTTTTTCATGTCTCGGTTGGGCTACGTGCCCTCTGAGGTCCCTTCTAACTGTCTAGATGACGTCATTGAGGTACTATAGATCTTATTATCCCCATTTGGCAGATGAGAAAACTGAGACTCAGAAAGGTTAAGTGGTCACATAGCTACTAAGTGTCAGAGGTGAGGTTTGAACCCAGATGCTCAATAAGCCAAGTCTAGGACTCCATACATACAATGCCACTATAGCAAAGTGAGTTATTTAGGCTGAAATAAACACAAAGAGAATTAATTACCTAATTTCTTAACTTCTACATGTTCAGACTCCACACTTAAAGTCGTATGGCCTTGTGTGAAATGTCCATGTGTGTGGTTCCCAAGGATTTTCATCTTTATCTGATTCATCAGATCATCTGGTGCAGCAGATGAATGAACTTTTATGATTGCTTGACAAACATAGCTAGAGACAAAAAGAGATAAGAAAGATGGTGCATTTGCATGAACAGGATGCCACCTAACTAGGGATTCCAGTCACACTGGCCTCTTAATTGTACCTGACATTTAGTCTCCTACCTCCATGCCTTTGTACGTCAGGCATGCACTCCTCCTCTCCTTCACTTTCTGGACTCTGCCTCCAAAGTATAATTCAGGTGCTCCCTCCTGCACCAGGTTTTTCTTGATGCTCCCTCCCCCCACCCCTTCAAATCACTGTTACTTTGTGCTTATTGATTTGGAGACATGAATTTCCTACCACTTCCCACTAAGCTCAGTGAAGATAGGGACTGTTCTGTTTTTGTCTTTGTACCCTCGGTACCCAGCACTGTGCGTGGCCCGCTGCAAGCCCTTAATTAGTGTTTGTTTGATTGGAGGGAATTCACAGATCTTCTTCAGTCCATTTCTGGTGAACACTCAACCCCTCCCTGTGGTCCGATGAACATTGTTAAGAGCTGGGTGTGCCCATTTGGAAAGAAGAGGATGGGCTAGAGTATTGGGTGAGTCCTAGCCTAGAGAAAAGACAACTTGGAGAACATGAGAAGTAGCTTCAAGGAAGGAAGGAAGGAAGGAAGGAGAAGGAGGGAAGGAAGGGGAGGAAGGAAGGAAGGAAGAAAGGGAGGAAGGAAGAGATAGAGGGAAGGAAGGGGGAGGAAGGAAGGAAGGAGAGGGAGGGAAGGAAGGCAAGAAAGGAGAGAAAGGGAAGGAAGG